GGGGGGGGGGAGGTCATTTCCGCCCCCAATCTCAGCTTTCCACCTCACCTGACGCCACAACAGTCGCTCGTACGCCGTCTCCGCCCTTTCCAGCGCCGCCGCGGCGATGCGGTACGCGTTCGCCTCCGGTTTTGCTGTCTCCATTCGCCACGTGAGCTCCTCGTCGGACAAACCGGCGGCCGCTTTGAGCAACGCCACCTTACGTGACATGCCAAGCGGCGGGGGCGGAGAGTCACAGAGAGGCAGAAGAGTCAAACGCAGGACGGAGGAACTAGCGATCGGAGAGTGGAGCAGCACAAAAGAAAGGCAGAGGCGAGCACACACAGCAGATGGGATGGGGTCGACACAAAGGAGCAGCATAAAATAGTAGGCACGCTATGCAAGCTTCGATAATTCTGCGTCTTGGTGGTGTGATGAGACCGAGCATTGAACACTTGTGCCTTGTGTATGTATCCCAATCGCGCCCCTCTTCGCAAAATAATACTAATCACATGAGAGTTGAAGCGGAGCGTGTTGTCTCCGAATTCTTCCCAAACTGGGCTTGCGCCCTTCGTGTGTGCATTTGTGAACGGCAGTAAGGGGTGTGAACACACTCGTTCCAAAACACTACTTGCGTTCATAATCCAACCCAGCACACCTGTAGACACCTTTTCAAATGATCGATCACGTACCGTCCACCTCTGCACATCGCGCTAGATGCTCACGCACCTGTTCCTGCAGGCTTTCAACATCCTCGCCACCCCCGACAGCAGCAGACCCGCCACCGCCGCCGCCCCCTTGTCCCTTTCCACGGCCGCCGCCGCCTCCCTTAAGCTTCGCCATGATGGCCGCTGCCGCCGAGGCATCCTCCTTGTTACCCCTCGACCCGGCCGCTTCCTTGCACGCCGCCAACGCCCCGCCCCGCCGCTGTCGCGCACTCCCTCGAATACTGGCCCTGCTGCTACCGCTGCTACTAGCGGCGCGGCCCCGTACTTTCGCCGCCGCGGCAGCAGTCAAGGCGGCCGCTCCTTGAACCCCTCCCGCAGCGCCGGCGCCATCCCGGCCCCGAGCAATCACCGTTGCTGCTGCTGCTGATGTCGCCGCCCCAGCCGTCGGTCCTCCTCCTCCTGCCACCGATGTCGGCGGCGGCGGGCGCATCCGGAAGCCAACCCCGCCCCGGAAGAAGCCGATGTCGCCCGGCCGTGACGTCGGGGGGCGGAGAGCCGACGGAACGGGGGCCGCGTATGGCGGCCTTGCGGCGGCGCCGGTGGCGGCGGCGTTCTCTCTGGCGGGAGTGGTGGAGAACGAGATGTTGGTGTTGGAAGCGACGATCACGATTCTCTTGTCGATGGCCGTCTTTAGCGTCGCTCCAGGGGTCCTGCTGCTGCTGCTGGCTGTGGCCGCGGGTTGACTCGTGGTCATCACCTGTGAGGCGGACACGGGGGAGGGGAAGCACACAAGAGTGCGCCTCCGTCTAAAAAACTCATATATATATTATATATAGGAGGACGCGTGGTAAATGATAAAATCTTTGTCGGCATCCTGCTCATCCTTGTTGGCGCGAAATATGAGTCGAAACTTCTGTCTCTGCTAGGTACCACATGTATACGACATGTCAGTCAACAAAAACGCCAAGGAATGACCAGAGCGAAGGACGACTACCAACAGCGCACCACTTCGGTTCTGCCGCTGCGTTCGTTTCTCTCTCACCGCCACGTCCCCGCGAGGAAAAACCACGAAGCCCACCCCTCCTCCTCCGCCTCCACCCCCCTCTCCGCGCCCCCTTTTCGGGGAAGGGTCGCCGTCGGCGACGGGCACGTACTTCATCTTCGCCGCGGCAGCCCGCCCGAGCTCTCGGTAGGCCTCCAGCCTGCGCTTGCCGAGGGAGGGCGGCGGTGCCCCGATTGGATCTGCGGAACAAAAACAGAGCCACAGGACGGGGATGCATGCGCCGACGGTGGCGTGGTTTTGAATAGGTGGGCCGACACGGGGTGGTCAACCGACGACGTACAGTGTAGCAGATATCTCAGGCCACTACAGAAGTACTGCTGCCGCCATGTGGAAATATTTGCCTGTTTAAAGATTTCTCCAGCACGTCTGGGGTGCTACTGTGGTGCGTGCTTTTTGTTCGAGGAGCATTTCCAAGTTCTCCATTTTTGACCTCGATAAGAGGTGGGGCGATCAACGTCTGGGCCATTACCCCATCTGTCCACACGTGACGGTACCCGTCTGATCGCGATCAAACTCAGCCTGAACCTCCTACAATGGTACGTTCGTTTCCCCCACACACCCGCATAGCTCAGCAGTACAGTTACAGCACCACACACACTACAGCAGCAGCCACCCCTTACCACAGAAAACATACGCGCCGAGTCTCTTCCGCCGTGCATCCGTCACAAGGCAATCACGCCTCGCCCGCCTGAACACCCTCCGGCCTCCTCCCCCACCTCCGCCATCCCCTTTCCCCCCTCCCCTGACCTGCTTCGCGGCGGCCGCGGCCCGCTTGCCGAGGATGCGCGCTCTCGCCGCTTTTCGCATGGCCGCTTTCTTTCGCTCCGCCTGCTTCGTTTCAGCAAGGCGGGAAGCACGAACAAATTGACACTAGTAAGAGGGTATTGTAGACCTGTATTTTGGGTGGCTCAAGCTACCCGGGTGAGCGACGGGGGAGGGGGCACGCCGTTGTCTAGAACGTGCTCGCGATTCTTTGTGTGCGGCAGACGGAAGCCTGTTGCGGCACTCTGCATCAGTGCAGTGTGATGTGTGCATTTGCGCCTCAGGTACACTGCATCGACGCCCAAGTCTGCTGCCTGTTCCAGCAGGGGAACACAGACCGGGACGGCGGGACATGCAAACCCTGGCGCGAGCTGTTTATGCTCAAGAGGCCAACCCGACAATACCTTTCACCAACAGGGAGCATATCGCGGAGGTGTTCAATGAATGCAGTTGTTCTACGAGGATACCTTGTGCGGTTCACGCAAAACGACACGCGACGTTTTGATGAGCACGCATGGTAAAGGCTGCTTTACCAGCGTGGCGAGTGACGAGCACGTGGTGAATGTTCCCCGTACCTCTTCCCAAGCTGGCTCATTCCCGCTGTTCCAGCCGGGCCTCTTTGCACCGCCCGCCACCGCTGCTACGGCGGTGGGCCTACGCTGCCCCCTGCCGCTGGGCAGCGGCGGCTTCGACGAGCTCCCCCTCGCGCCGTCGCGACCTTCCCTGTTGCTGGGGCCATCGCCCGTAGTACTGTTGTTGCCAAGCCTTCCCGCCTTGAACACGTACGCGGGATCGCGCCCTGCTCCCCGGGTAGCAACCTTCGGCGACGCGGGGTGAAGCGAGCACTGCTGCTGATGATGATGGCGTGGCGTCGCGGGCATCGTTCTCTTGGTCTTCAGCGAGGTTGTCGGCGGGGGCGGCCGCGCTGCTCTGACGGCAGCTCCTCCTGCCGCCGCCGCCCTCGGCGTCGCTGTCGCTGCTGCCGCAGCCGGTGCAGCAGCAGGTAGTGCCTTCTTCCGTGCGGAGCCTTCTCGCCCGCCACCTCCTGCCGGGGCAGCAGCAGCAGCAGCAGCGCGGAGAACGTTTTCGTCTCGACTTGCCAGCGCACGCCGCGGCGGTGCTCCTGCCGCTCTACCCGCCATTGGCCCTGCCTTCTTTCCGTGGGCTACAGAGGGAGGGAGCGGGGCTGAAACGTGCTGCCGGGTTACGGCGGTGGCCCCGCTGGACTTGTCGCCTACCGTAGCCCGGAGGTAGACCTTGTGTTGAACGTGCTCGAAGTCTCTGGGATCAAACGTCGACGGTAAAAGCTCAACCAGGTCGAAATCATCGTCGCAGAACTGCACCGAAAGCAGGCACCACCTTCCCTCCTCGAACCCTGCCAGTGACGGCACCAAGTCCTCGATCTGGGCCTTGAGCCCGGCAAAGGACGCAAAGCTAAGTCGAGGAGCAAGAGTGACCTCCTCATCGCCGAGCTGCTGCTTGCTGATCGTGAGCTTGGTTTTCACCAAGCTAGACGCGAGCGGAGGGGGCGTTGGTGTGACCGGAGGCCTGTCCACGTAGACTTCGAACATCGCGTGGGCTCCCTGCCTCCTGCAGCACAGCAACAGTAGAGGTGGGTGTTTGTGTGCGGAGCATCGACATGTCGATCGACATCAAGAAAAAGAGGCAACGGACACTTGGGGCCACAACGAGTTCACGAGGCGTTTTTCTCTCACAGTTTCGTTTTTTCTCCTTTCACGAAACATTCGACGAAGAAATATGCTATGAACAACGAACTCGGCGATGGGCATTTTATGCACACATGTCGCCGTACCCCAGCGCCTTGAACCTTTGCCCTCACAAGACAGGCACCCTAACGGCGTGAAGTATACCGTTCAAACCCTTTGCAAGCAGCAAAACACGTACGCTCGACGATTGTGTTGCACCCACAGCTGCGCGGAGCAATCAAATGGCACCTCGGCGGACCCTCCCTCCTTGGGGACTGTCGGAGCCGAACCATGGAGACACATGTAGCGAACCGCGGTGTAAGACCCGGTCGGAGATGCTTCGCAGCAGGCGGGAAGAGGCCACGACCTATGCCCGAGATCAACTGGACGAGAGGGGGCTATGTCCGCCGGTGGAGATGCCGACGGACTGCTGTTGGTGGAAGCTTGTCGAGGGCTACAAAGAGAACGCGCTGGAAGATTTGGCGAGGTACGTGTGTGTGTGTATCCAAAGAACAGGAGCACGCAAAGGCGCCGTGGGGTACTTGTATGCACGGGTATACAGATGAAGAAGGAGGACTATGTTCGAATTGTTGCCGGCAAAGCAACGAAATAGGAAGTTGAGAGGCACAGACCATGTACAACACGAGAGTGGCAGTAACGCTCTTTGCAATCCAACGTGGTCCGGCCGCATGACAGCTACAGATTCCTGTTTTCCCTGCTATTCTTGTGCTGTGTCTCGACAGCACCCAAGGGCGGTGACCTGCAGGTATCAGCCATGCAGTATTTTCTTTGCTGAGAGAGACATCATTCCGGCGCTTGTCCTTGGTCCCGTGTTCTCGAGTTTTCTGTCTCTGTAGGCACGGTCCAGACGTTTACTGCTGCTGTAGGTCCTGATCACCACAAATTGTTGATCAGCACGATATTGTAGCACCAACGGGTTCGGACAAAGATGTGTCACGAAATTCACCCGTACCTACAGCAGTACACAAGAGTAACATGTCCCCAACACCCCTTTTACACATAGCTTGGGATAAGCCTCCAACGCTATTGCTGACAGTTCTCCCAGGTTTCAAAGGTACATGAGCAAGCGAGCTCGGACCCAAGCAGCAGAGCGTCCGGATCCCTTCGGTACACACGAGGTACGTCAAATACGGCAGGTAATGACTGACGTCAGTGAGGCAATGACTGAAGTCAGTGAGCGCTTCTACAGAGTAACTTTGACTCGAAAATCGGGCATGATGTGTAGTCTAGACAATATTGTAGTCGAATCACTGCTTGAGTTCTGTGCGTGCAGAACGGTGGGCGTGATGCAACGCGGACTACTGTTAACTGCATACATGTAGAATAACCATCTTGTTTTCCCCAGTAAATAGGGCTGGAAGATGGGGTGCCCATGACATTTCCACGACGAGGCGGAGGATTGCAGTGTTCGGCGAGAAAGTTTTATTCGACGCCTGACTCGTAGACCAATAACCATGGACAGAGCATATTCTTGATATGTCCAAAAAGAAGAAGACAACCAGAAACGCCGAAAGGGCAACAGGTACTGAAAATATTCTACTCCGACAGCGATAAAACTGATTCCGTCACCCAGCCTTAAGTTGCGCGCGGCTCCTTGAGGGCGTCGAGATCCGTTCGGAATCACCGGGGGGAATACCTTACTCCTTGACGTTCCTCAATGACAATACTCAGGTTAGGCTCCGAAGAGCACCAAAGTCTTGCGCAGACAAGATATCCCGGGCGGACCCCCCACCCGCTGATGCTGAAGTGTACCTCGCTCCAAAGCGAACCGTAAAACGCTTCACCGACGGCTTTTTCGAGTGGAAGGCGCGCCTAGTACCCCATGGAGATCTAGACGAGCGAGGCAAGAACAAGGTGCAACCTGGGGGTTATGCAGAATGTGTTCCTTGGCCGAACGGTCGAGGATCAAGATGCGATGGTAGCACTCCGCACAGCACTTCCGAGCGCATTCAGCGACAGAGCGGGGTGTAACGGTCCAACGCACCTGGTGGTCACCGCAGCTAGCATCGGTGCCAACACCAAACGTTGTGTAGTGCCAGGCCCAAACCCCTTTTTGCCCCGAAACTTGTCACCCAATGGTAGCTTGAAAAATACATATATGAGCCTGGTAGGAAACAAGAACCCGCCCACCGACGTGTTTTCCCGCTCGCGTCCTGCTCTTGTGAACAGAGAATTACGAGAGACGAGTGTGAGCCCCCATTCAGCTCACTTTCTTCCTCTTTTACGGGGTGCACCATTGACCCAAGGGTGAGTAGGGGACCTTAACTTTGTGCTGTGTTTTTCCCGAACAAAAAACAACTTTGACTTTGCAGAAGCAGTTTTCCGCTGACTTGAGACACTAGTCTATTTATGTAGTATGGACCGTGTTTGGATTCAATCGTAGAGGAGGTTCTTGATTATACAACCAAGTCCTTTGGGCACAAGCCGCGGGCGCTATCTGCTTGCTTGTTTTTGTATACGCACGCACTACTGGAAGTACACAGAAAGAGGTTACCATTGGACGAAGCATATATTAACTGCTGTACGTTCATGCCACACTTTGTCTTGCACAAGATGTGTCAACAGTACCAAATCAACGTGCACACACATGCCATCAGTTGTTTAATCATCTCCATTGCTTCACTGACTGTATTTTTTGTCGGTTAACTCGAGGGAACCATGGTGTCCTGTCCCAGACGCTATCAGCCGTTGGGCCACTTCCCGCCCAGCACTATATCCACTCTTGACATTCTGCCACGCAAACTTGAGCGTAAACGTACAGTGATCGCCCGGACCGCACAATCTGTACACGCACGCGACCCCCTTTTGTCCGCAGAGCAACATCCGTTCTCCCCGTCAAGCAAACGCCCCCCTTCAGGTGGCGGCTCACCTGTCAGATAAACCAAGCGCTGCGGAAGTTGCCCGCAGGGCTATCCAGCAGCAGCGGGTTATGTGGCAGGCCATACTTGCGTCTGCGACCAACAAGTCCGGCCTAAGTTGCTGCCGCGATGATGATTCGGCGGGGACCGAGGGACAAGGAGGCGGCAGCTGCAGCAGCAGCAGCAGCCGCAGCCCACTGACATCACCGGGCTCTGCTTGTTTGACGAGCCCGACAGGCGAGCAACTTCATGCTAACGGTGTTCGCCCCACATACTGCTCCTGCCACAATTTTCCTTCAACCTCTGTGTGCGTTTGAGCGCCGAAACAATACAACGCGAAGGCTTTTGTGCGGAGAGAGACAACTGCTGTTGCGCTGAATATTCCACTCGCCAAAACTGTTTTTTGTAGTGCCCTGACTTTTGTTGCGGCGTGTATTGTGCTCCTGTTGATGAAGCGATTGGTACGACCCTCCGGGATGGTGCTTATAGTTGATTGCACCCATAGAAGGTCTCGCATTGTTCCTATGTATATACTTCTTTAGGTAGGATTGGTATGCGGCAGGAGGGAGTGGGGGGAGTGGTGTAGCCCGGAGAGCGCACTTCTCACATGAGGAACACTCTCTTGTCCATGTTACAAAACTGACGTGCACCACTCGGCGGGTTATTGATGCGCAGGACGCAACAACAACAGGTTTAAGGCACGCACTTACTCGCCCCCCCACCGTACGCGCGCCCATCCTACTACAACGGACGCGTGTCATGCTCATGTTTCTTCAACAAAAGCTGATCCGCTGGGCCAGCTTCAGATGCGGCCGCCTTCCATGCCCCCAGAATCTACTCGCCGGCGCTACAGCCGACTCTGCGGCCAAGGTTAAATCGAAGGAGAGAGGGGTCTCCTGGCTTGTGTGTGTGTTTTCACCCTCTCGGGCAAGCTTTGGGGTGTAGAAGGGACTCGGCTTCGAAAAAGGTCCAAAGAAGGGAAGGGTGGGACGGGACTCTGCCATACCACCTGCCTCGAGATCCACGTTGCCAGTTGACGTTGCCAGATACGTGTGTCCAGCATATCGGCAATACGGTCACTCATGCATCGAACTTCATACCTCTAGATTGATGGTCGGTAAGGTGATTTTATTTACGTTGTTAGGGTGTTTGGTTGAAGGTTTGGAACGGGCTTGCACACAGCTCGTTGAGAAATCGATCCCGGGAGCAAGTCTTTCAATTCTATCCGTTGCAGTATTTTGGTGAGAGGTTGGATATTGGTCATCGTGCAAACAAAGGAAGGCGGGAAGGAGAACGGCGGTTGGGGCAGGATGGTTCAACCGTCCCCCTTGGGGGTGGAATTTCCGTTCGAAATGAACGCTTCCGTGTTGGGATCATCCGAAAGCCCAACCGCATGTCACTGCGGTGCGCATGACATGTCTGACAGCAAATGTTGGAGCTGTTTACAATTGTACAGCACTGTCATAGTGCTCAATGGGAACCTCAACAGATATGTCGGTTACCATGGGCCTTTGACGCCGATCCTACCGGGGCAGCACGCATCGTTGTGGACCAGTTTCGGCCTGGAGGGTTTTGGTACGTCTCCGCACGAGCATATATGTTTCAAAATATTTCTTCTGGCCGCCACGAAGCACACACACGCTTTTGGTCCACCGGCCCTACGTACCCTCGTTCGCGAAAGCAGTGCACACTATCAGTCAATAACACTTCTTTCCCTTGATTTCGGTGGGCTTTCATGTCAACCACAAGTATTGACGTTTCAAGCGTAACCCTTGCTCATTACTTCGCCCAAAAACATCTCTAACCGCGCTACCGTTTTCTTTCGATGAAAATTTTGGTTGCAGAGCATTCTTCCTGCAAAGTTACCTATCGCAGCTTAGTTCCCGAAGCTTCTTCAGCACCATGCTATCAGTCAATAACCCCTTTTCCCCTTGATTTCGGTGGGCTTTCATGTCAACCACAAGTATTGACGTTTCAAGCGTAACCCTTGCTCATTACTTCGCCCAAAAACATCTCTAACCGCGCTACCACTTTCTTTCGATAAAAATTTTGGTTGCAGAGAATTCTTTCTGCAAAGTTACCTATCGCAGCTTAGTTCCCGAAGCTTCTTCAGCACCATGCTATCAGTCAATAACCCCTTTTCCCCTTGATTTCGGTGGGCTTTTATGTCAACCACAAGTATTGACGTTTCAAGCGTAACCCTTGCTCATTACTTCGCCCAAAAACATCTCTAACCGCGCCACCACTTTCTTCCGATAAAATTGTTGGTTGCAGAGCATTCTTCCTGCAAAGTTACCTATCGCAGCTTAGTTCCCGAAGCTTCTTCAGCACCATGTCCTAAGACGAAGACCGCTCGCCGACAGACAGAGATTTGCCGCCTTCTGACACAATAGATCCAACAATGGATATTCCATCGAGAAGCAACGAGTCGTTCTCATCCGACGGAGTGAGTCCGCCGATCGATTGGTCAAGCGAGTGCTTGTCTCCACTGAGTGACTGACCACTATCAAGTGAGTTCCTTCCCAGCGATAGCAGGTCACCAAAGGACGAGTAATGCCCGTCCAATAAATATTCATCGAGGGACATCTCCCCTACTTCCTCACGTGGCCCTGATATCCTCTCCTCTTCACCCGGGTATTGTGGTTGAGACGCCGGTTCGAGGGCATCAAGCTGCTCACGCGAAAGTCGTTTCTTCCCACCATGGTTGTTGGCCTGGTCTGGTGGCACCCACTCCGTGGACGCCTCTCGGTGCGGTTGTCCTTGCTTGTCCAGCGACGACAGCTCGTCCAGGGACTCCTCGTTTCTGAGCTGGCGGTTGCTCCCGATTCCACCAGGGGCCCCATCCTCAGTACTACGTCCGCCACCATTGAAATTTCCCTCGGTAGGTGGCTCTCCTCCTGCCGGCACTTCGTCAAAGGATCCGTCCCGGTATGGTTGCTTGTCCAGCGACGACAACTCGTCCAGGGACTCCTCATTTCCGAGCTGGCCGTTGCTCCCAATTCCACCAGGGGCCGCATCCTCGATACTACGTCCGCCGCCATTGAAATTTCCCTCGGTAGGTGGATCCCCCCCTGCCGGCATTTCGTCAACGGATCCGTCCCGGTATGGTTCCTTGTCCAGCGATGACAACTCGTCCAGGGACTCCTCATTTCCGAGCTGGCCGTTGCTCCCGATTCCACCAGGAGCCGCATCCTTAGTACTACGTCCGCCGCCATTGAAATTTCCCTCGGTAGGTGGATCCCCCCCTGCCGGCATTTCGTCAACGGATCCGTCCCGGTATGGTTCCTTGTCCAGCGACGACAACTCGTCCAGGGACTCCTCATTTCCGAGCTGGCCGTTGCTCCCGATTCCACCAGGAGCCGCATCCTTAGTACTACGTCCGCCGCCATTGAAATTTCCCTCGGTAGGTGGATCCCCCCCTGCCGGCATTTCGTCAACGGATCCGTCCGGGTATGGTTCCTTGTCCAGCGACGACAACTCGTCCAGGGACTCCTCATTTCCGAGCTGGCCGTTGCTCCCAATTCCACCAGGGGCCGCATCCTCGATACTACTTGCGCCGCCATTGCAATTTCCCTCGGTAGGTGGCTCTCCCCCTGCCGGCATTTCGTCAACGGATCCGTCCGGGTATGGTTGCTTGTCCAGCGACGACAACTCGTCCAGGGACTCCTCATTTTCGAGCTGGCGGTTGCTCCCAATTCCACCAGGGGCCGCATCCTCGATACTACTTCCGCCGCCATTGAAATTTCCCTCGGTAGGTGGCTCTCCTCCTGCCGGCATTTCGTCAACGGATCCGTCCGGGTATGGTTCCTTGTCCAGCGACGACAACTCGTCCAGGGACTCCTCATTTCCGAGCTGGCCGTTGCTCCCAATTCCACCAGGGGCCGCATCCTCGATACTACTTGCGCCGCCATTGCAATTTCCCTCGGTAGGTGGCTCTCCCCCTGCCGGCATTTCGTCAACGGATCCGTCCGGGTATGGTTGCTTGTCCAGCGACGACAACTCGTCCAGGGACTCCTCGTTTTCAAGCTGGCGGTTGCTCCCAATTCCACCAGGGGCCGCATCCTCGATACTACGTCCGCCGCCATTGAAATTTCCCTCGGTAGGTGGCTCTCCTCCTGCCGGCATTTCGTCAATGGATCCGTCCTGGTATGGTTGCTTGTCCAGTGGCGACAACTCGTCCAGGGACTCCTCATTTCCGAGCTGGCGGTTGCTCCCGATTCCACCAGGGGCCGCATCCTCGATACTACGTCCGCCGCCATTGAAATTTCCCTCGGTAGGTGGCTCTCCTCCTGCCGGCATTTCGTCAATGGATCCGTCCTGGTATGGTTGCTTGTCCAGTGGCGACAACTCGTCCAGGGACTCCTCATTTCCGAGCTGGCGGTTGCTCCCGANCTCTCCTCCTGCCGGCATTTCGTCAATGGATCCGTCCTGGTATGGTTGCTTGTCCAGTGGCGACAACTCGTCCAGGGACTCCTCATTTCCGAGCTGGCGGTTGCTCCCGATTCCACCAGGGGCCGCATCCTCGATACTACTTGCGCCACCATTGCAGTTTCCATCGGTAGGTGGCTCTCCTCCTGCCTGCATTTCGTCAATGGATCCGTCCTGGTATGGTTGCTTGTCCAGCGACGACAACTCGTCCAGGGAATTCCCGTTTCCGAGCTGGCCATTGCTTCCAATGCCACTCGGAGCTGTGTGATCAATAGTTTTTGCACGACCGTTTACGTATTCACCAAAAAACGATTCTTCTCTTCCTGTCCGCACCCCACCAACGGACCCAACCTGGTACGGCTCCCCTTGCTTGTCTAGAGACGACAGCTCGTCCAGAGACTCCTCGTTTTGTAGTTGGTTGTTGTGCCTGATGTCACCCGGGACTGTATCGTGAATAGTTCGTGCTCCGCCGCTGAAGTATTCATCGATCGATGATCCTCCTTCTACTGGCACCCCACCAGCGGAAGCATCTTGGTGCGACTCCCTTTCCTTGTCCAGAGACGACAACTCGTCCATGGATTCCTCTTGTCCGAGCTGGTAGTTGCCGATGGTAGTATTGCGGTCTAACTCAACGCTAGCTGCACCACGATTGGACCCCTCAGGATAGGACTTCCTCGCCTCTTCGAACTGCGTGCTGCTGCTTTCCTCTCCGTGCGATCCATGTTGTTTTTCCAGCGATGACAGCTCGCCGAAAGATTCGGCGTTCTCCACGGCCATCCCATCCCCGATTGCACCTGCATCCTTGCGATCAGCGACACGTTGGTGTTCAGTAGAGGTAGGGTCGTCCGAACGGTGAAGTCGTTGTTTAGAATCTAGAGCTGGCGTGTTTTTCACGTTGAAGGAGCCCTCACCGTCAAGTTCATCGTCGTGCATGGCGGGAACATGGCCGCTTTCGCCCTCCACAGGACCTCCTGCCGTGACAGCCTCCCGGACACCAGCCATCACTACTTTCCCAACAAGCTCGTGCTCTTCGACAGAAAGGCGTCCACTTGTGTCCTCGCGCAGGTCTTCGTGGCCAAGAGACGCTCGATGACGCTCCCGGCTAACCGAGGCATCTTCGACCGAATCACTGCACGCCTCCTCTTGCTCCTCCATGCGATGCTCACCGTTTGTCAAACCGTCACCACTAGACCCTCGAGCAGTCCGCACATCGACGCCAGAGCCCTCTTCGGACATCCGCCGGTGTTGCTCTTCCGTACAACTGCCGAGAGACCACACGTGGCCCAAAAATTCGTCCGTGTCTAACTGGCTCTTACGATCGTGGCTTCCCGAATCGACGGAACTTCGGTGATGGGCGGGGACGTCCTCCGCGGATGGTTGCTCGTCGCGCCTGTGGCGTTCGAGGATCGAGCCAGTCTGCCCAACCCTCGGTCCATCACCCATGGAAAGCTGGTCGAAAGGTTGCTTGCCTGCGACCCCATGCTCCACTGCCCCATCGTGGGCGGGCGGCTGCTCAACAAGCGAGTAGCTCCCTTCGTCGATGGATAACTCATCAAACGACAGGTTAAGCTCGAATCCATCCCCATCGACGGCACCAATCTTGTCCCCACCGGTACGGGTACCACCTGCTCTCGGCCGGCCGGGCTGCGGCCGCTTACCGACGAGCTCAGCCCTACCCTGGTCATCGTGCGGCACCGAGACATCGGCATCATTACGACCAACTGAACGGTCGCCCCCAGGCCGACGCCTGTCGACATCTTCGCCGCCGGCTTCGTGGCCGGTCTGCTTCACCCTTGATCCGCCGTGAAGCGGGAGAAGTTGATCAATCGATACCTGATCCCAAGAGTATTCGATGCTTGCTGGTGGGTTCTCCTCTTCCCCGCGAAGCGTTGGCGATTCATCTGTTGTCGGCTCTGCGTAGCTATCGGAGGGGATATCATTGCCTCCCGAAGTTGGCCCGAGGGACACCCCCGGCCGATAAGGCCTACCAGGATCGACTGCGTACGCGGAATTATCCGTTGTGATGTTGTCAGCTTCACCATGTTCGTGGGGCAGGGAGGGCTCCCTGTCTCGTGGTGCGTTGTCTTCGTCGACACTAGTTTCAGACGTGACGTCGTACAGTGACGACCCATCCGATGACTCCCCTTCCGCCGCAGAATATCTTCTGCGATTTCTTCTGTCGTTGAGGGATGCCTTTGGGTCGGACACGTACGCCGCCCCTGTGGTCATCCCCGCTTCCGCGCCAAATCCTGATCTACCACGACCGGGAACGCTTGGCCGGTCGTGGGACTCGAGCGACCAAGTCTCGCTTGAATAGCTGCTGTCACAGGAAGATCCAAGTATGTCGTACAAGGACGCGCCGCCGTCGGACATCGAGGCGGTCGAAACTCTTTCCTCTTCTTGGCGCTTACCTGAGACATCTGGCTTGCCGTTCTCGTCCTCAACAACCATACGAGGGAGTGGAACAGACGGCGGGCCTCCCGCAGTGCCGACGGGGTGTTCCTCGTAAGAAGACGAGTAGAGCTCTCTGTCGACGTTCTGGGGGTCGCTTCGGCCAGCGGCGCGGGGGACGTCCGCGTCCGTAGCTTTTTTCTCGGCAGAATCCACCAAAATGTTGTCACAGCCGTCGACCCAGAGATGGTTAAACCCAGCAGCGACCCCCCGGTGGCCTGTAAGGCTACCCTCATGTGCCGCTGCTGCCTCGGGCGTGTTGGAGTCACACGCGTGAGACAGCGCGAACCGGCTGTGTTCCTCATTCGGTCGGTTCCATTCTCTCCAACTCGCAGCACCAGGGCTGTTGGCGTGAGAGATGCTAGTTGCACCAGGTCGACCGTCACACCAGCTCTCGTCGTCGTCGTCGTCCTGGAGCAAGCTACCAGTTGTCAGGTTGAAATCATTTCCTCCCCACCATTCGTCACAGGAGGTCTCTCTACCTCTCAATTGTGCGTCATCATCTCTTCCTGCGCTAGGCTCCACCATCGAATACCTGCTGCGGCTGTCGAGAGCAACCCGCTTGGTGCTCTGCGGAAACTCCGTGCTGCCGTGTCTGGCTATGAGCTGCTCCTCGTCAGACTCGGATTTTCCCCACGGCTCAAAGTCAGACTCGTACGAGTCACGAACGCTAAGGACTTCAAAGTCATCTTCGTACCCTTGTTGGTGCGTATCTTCGGCACCAGTTGCATCCTCGACACGATTTTCATCATAAAGCGAGACCGCTTTCGCACCTCGGTCTGCAATCGGCTGCATAGACTGCGTACGCTTTGACGTTGCGTTAAATGATAGAGACGTTGATCCTCCTCCGTCTATCCTTCTACTAGACGCTCCCTTCCGAATAGCCGAACGACTTCCTCTGACAGGAAATTTTGAAAAATATACGCGACGTTCTTCGTTGTGCTGATTCCTGTCCCCTCTTCTTCTCGCGGCCAGCTGTTGCTCATGCTTGATGGGATCACCTGCTCGGAATTTCCGATCCCGGCGTGCCGAGGCCGGACGACGGCTGCCAGAATCTTCCCTCCTTCGGCCCAGTCTTCGTTGTGCAAACAGTCCATCCTCCGAACCCCCGTTGTCCGGAGGACTCCCGTAGGCGATGGAACCCTTCATGGGAGAACACGGAGAGGACCGCGTTCGCCGCGACGCAGACTTCCGTCGCTGCAGTCTCCTTCCCGGTACATGGTCTTCTTGTCTAGCATCGAGGTGCCTTCCTCGCTGAGGGGTACGCCCTTCTACCCGCCCGGCGCTGGCTGCCCTGCCTATCGAAACCGAACTGTTGAATGCCACAGACGGGATAGCAGTAGACGCCACCGCCTTCCCACTTCCTGCTTGTCTCTCGGGGTTGCTTCTCGTGCCGCCGATAACCTGTGGCTGCCTCTCCCGCGTGTCGCAACGGCCTGGTTGGCCGCCGTCCTTGCTTCTCCTCCTAGGACTGCGGTACCCTTCACCACGGGCGGAGCCGGAAGCAGACCGACCGCAATCGGGCGAAGCAGAGTGCTCCACGCGCCTCTCGTTTCCCTCTTCTGATTTTCCGCGGGAGCGACGAGGACGGGCCTTCTTTCCGTCGTGCACCACAAAATCGTTCTCCGTCGTCGGCGACCGTCGCTTGTGCCGTTTCCTCCTTCTACTTCTTCTGCGCCGTGCCGGTCGTTCTCCATTCGTCGGAGATGTCGCCCTGATGGCTTCACGGGGCAGCCAGAAGGATTTTGCCTTTGTCGACGGTACCTTGCTTGCCCGCAAGAGCTGCTTGACCTCCGCGAGCTGCGCCTCTAGCTCCTTCTTCTCGATGGCGAGCCGATGCAGCTCCAGTCGGCGGGCTCGCTGCATCGCGGGCATTTCTTCCGGAGTCTGCGCCCTCGCGGGCGGAGAACAACCTCGCCCCTGGTTCGCTGAGCTCGTCTTGTGCTCCCGTGGAGTCGCTATTGGCTCCCCGAGAACGCGTTCGTCTGCGCCATCCAACCACTCCTGATTTTCGTCGCACGCCTGCGAAAATATTGTTCCAAGCGGTTTGTCCGGAAACGATTCATCTGTGGGAGCACGTCGAACAAACAAGAGGAGGAGAGCAGGTCAGGGGCGGGTTGGCCCCACAATATGGCACGCGTGCCTGGATGCGAGAGATCAAACGGAGGGTAGGGTATCGATTCGGAATATGCCTGTGCGGGAGAATGTCGAGGGAAGCCGCATGATAGCACCGAAGGACCTGGCTGGCTCTCTGCGTTCAGGGCGCCCGACAGGTGATAGGAACGGAAGGTGACGCGACACGACCTGGCGGTCTGGGAACGGGGACCGACAGAGGGGACGTGATCGTCAACTACTTCTTAGCGGCGTCTTTCTGGACCTACCTCCGTCCCAACGGCCAGAAAATGCACTCATCGGCCGAGCGAACCGTTTCCTGGGCCCACTACCTGTGGTCGCCGGTCGAACTGGTCGTTTTCGCAAGTCGCCAATCCCATCTGAATTCATGGCGCCGACCTCGTCGTCGTGGGGCACATCAGAGACAACCTTGGGAAGGAATGCAAGAATTCGAGGCGTAGCGACAAAGGCGGCATATTGGACGCGTGGGAACCGTGGGGTTTAGCCGTCGGCTTCGGAAACTGAGGCTGCTCCACGGTAGTTTTCCCTGCAACTAGCCGCTATCTCCGTGTGGAGTGATGCACCACCGTTTTCCGTGGGGACATGACCTACAAAAAAAGAAAGGCGTGGAACAATGGACCAGTACACATCCTATCACATGCGCACCTGGCGCCTCCCTCCGACACCGATGTCGTCCAAAGGCCAAGGCAACGGGTAACGTCCGTTCTCCCGGGGACTCAAGCGTCGCCGGTGTGGGTCAGCAGTTGTCGGTAGAGTCCTGTCGTCCCACGGCGGCGATCTACAGCCAACCGGTGGATGTGGGTTTCGTCCACCGCTGGGACAGGAGCGTGCACCGGCGCTGTAGATTCGGACCGCCCGCTCATTGGCAGCCTGGCGGTTCTCCTTTTGAGATATCCCACGGAGCCTAGCCGGTGATACTGCCCTCGTGGGTGACACCGCTGGCGTCGTGGATGGCCGGTTCGGAATGGGCGATCTTCTTGATGCGTGATGGAACCTCGGACTGCTGTAGGAACCATGGGGGAAGGGAGAGCCCGCGGCCGTTTCTGCTTTGCCTACCATATTGCCGGCAGCCGACGCAACACCTTGGTCATGAATCTTGCCTCTGTCCAGCCAGTTATTTTTGAGGCGTTCGCCGTGAACGTGGTGACGGCTACCGCGTTCTTGCTGTTGGTCTCTCTTCTTGAGGTCTGCAAGGTACCCGATTCGGCGGTCCTGAGCCTCCTTCAACTGCGTGGCTCGGTCAAGCGAACCGTCCCGGTGGAACCTACCTATCATAGACCTACAGCAGCAGCAGTTGGTGTACAATCGAACATTTTCGGTAGGGGAACGTAGGGTTGCGACACAGCGGCACAGATGTGAGCACGGTTGTTGTAAAATTGTAAAGAGGTTCGCACTGCAGTTCCACCGGCTTGGACAAACTTCGAAGCGCGGTGCTTTCGCAGGTTTCCTGGTGACCGAGAACTCTCAATACAACCACACCGCCCATGTGAAGCAGACTGGTATGACCAAGCACGTAAGGCCTAACACACTGTAAGTAAGTTAAACAATTGCATGAAGGGTGCGATGCCACGTGTTTTTCGCCCCCACGGTGATCATTCCTATAATCTTTTTAGGGTTAGCCGGGAGCGGGTGGTCGTCAGCCGCTCCAAGTGTTGTTACCTTCTCGAACTCAAAACCCGGTGAACTAACTTTTCCTCACCGAAGAAAGAAGCACAACGAGTCTCACCTGCTGAACTTGAGTTTCCTGCCTTTCGAATTATGATCAGGAGACTCGGGCAGCAGGGCGGCGTTACCGCATATCATGAATACCTCCTCCTTTTGTTGCGCAACGCGACTTCCTGACCTCTCTCAACATGCTGATTGTGCCGCACTACCGAGAACACTACTCATCTCCTCTTATGCATTAGAGGAGACGGACGATAATGAGGTAGACGTGCCACGTGGCCTCTGTTGCTGTTCTTGTTGTTTGCTGTGCCGTTGGGCACAGCTTTTCTGTCGTGCAGTTTGTTTGAGCACATACGCGTGGGAGCTGTCTGCGCCTGCTGCGCACTGGGGCGCCGAACGTGTGATGCAGCGGTAAGTAACCGTCCGTTGGTCTCTGTTGGTTCTTCGATCGGTCCCAGGATCGTTCTACAGAAGCTCCAGTGGTCCCTGTATAAGGCCGAGTGGCGGTCGTTGTATCGGGTACCCGGACGTCCATCAACGCAATCATGTCGGGCGATTGACCAGCCTTACACGGCGACCGGCACCTCATAGGGGCCATACTGTTGTAGACCGGACGACAAGGTAAAAAAACTCGACTGCTGTTGCATGCATATCCTTGCGCGCCGCACGCTGTGTACATACATATCGCAAGGAAGATCAAGGACATTTTTTGAAACGTTTTTTCCCGCGTCACGCGAGCAGGAAGCGGCGAAACCATCGGGTTTTGCTGGTTTTTGCCGCCTCCGCCGTCATGACCAATGACCAATCACTACCACATCTACCTGTCAATTTCGCCTGCCGTTGAGGACTTGACCGCTGTACTCTCTGGGCGCACAACCGACGCCGACATCGACAACCGGCCTGTTTCTACTGCTGCGCCTGTTGCTGCTCCGTCCGAGGTTCGATATCGGCCAGGAACGCTAATTATTCTATTGGCGGAAATAGCGGGCATCGGGGCACTCTTCTCTCGCCGCCGCCGCGTGAAGTCAGCAGCTCTTGTCACGCGATCTCGCCTTCCCACTCGCGTTCCTCCACAGCAGTGCTCCAAGTCTACTGCCGGGAGAACGACTACCGCGGGACGTGTCGGTGACCGTGCGTCTGAGCCTTTCTGTTCCTGCTGCAACAGCAGGTCGTTCGCCGCGAAGAAGGACGCCCGCCCGCCCGCAGACAACATCATGGGGTCGGACGACACAGCGTCAGCTAGCCCTACAGTAACAGGGGACAGGGACTGCTCCACCAAGAAGCGGTTCTCCCAGGTGGCGGAGCAGTCCTCCTCGTCGACGTCGGTGGAAACGCTGCTGCTCTCGGGCCTGGAGGCAGGGGTGCTCAAGCTGGAGAGAGATAGCTCCGCCTCGGCCGGCGGCAGCAGCAACGGCAACGGCGCGGGCTTGTTCGCGGCTTCGCCCTCCTGCGCGGGTGGCGGCGGCCTGTGCTACCTCGAGATCGACGCGAGGATGCCGGTGAGAGCGCGCCTGGCGGAGCTGCTGAGCTTCCTGGCCTGGTTCTCGCTGATCGCCTCCTGCTGCACGCAGTACGCGATGCTCTGGGTGAGCTTCTGGATGCGCATCGAGGAGCTGCGGACGCGGTCGACCTCGTTCCACAGGAGGACTGTGGCGCTGCCGCTCTGGGGGCTGTGGGTCGCGGGGCTGTTCTGCTACCGGCGCATGATCTACAAGCGGATCCCTCCCGACATGGTGGCTCTCTTCCGGAACGCCGAGGTCCTTGCCCTTGTGGTCCTGTTCATGACTGGTGAGGGTGCCGCGTGTGGGTCTTGCGCTGCTGCTCTTATTTCGCTGCTGTCCCCTCTTCGTTTGCTTGTTTGCTTGAATTCTTCTATTCGTGTCTTGCAACATAGATTGCGATGCCAGTCACCATCCTCTCTCGCTCTCCGCCGAAGCATTTTTTTTCATAAAAAGAGCGTGTTTTTTCCACTTTGAGGTCCCATGGAAGGATTTTTCCTAATTTAGCGCGCCCACCCGCGTTGCCTTGTATCCCCACCATCACAAAGGGTAAACCGCTCAGTTCTGAGCAACCTCCGCCCGTGCTCGAGCGTATTTGTTCACTGGCTGTATTTTATTTCGCGTATTGTGGTGGCTCGCATCAGAAGCGTCCCAAAAGTATGTGTACTTCGTTTGCGTCCGTCAGTCCATGCGCTCGAGTTCAAGTTGCGATTCAAACATCAAGCTCGTCATCAGTCCCTTCGACACACCAATCTTTCTCATCACCAATGCCGGCTTTGAAACCTACTTATAATTGGGCGGGCGCTCGTGCGTCATCGAGGTCGGCACCTCCATTGTTGCGCAACTTTCGGCTTTAGGGCCAAGGAAAATAATATATCACACGGATACGTATATACTATTTGTAGAAGGTTGTGGGAAATCTCGAACGGCATTATAGCCCGGCACGTTTTCTGTCTTTTTTCATCCCGTAGTCGCCGCTCTCGGAATGATGGTGTTGATGTTCGGTTTAGTTGTAAGCGCAGCCATAATCGAGTACCCCAAGAGCTAAAGCAGCAACTCCCTCTCTCCTCTTTGTTTATCTCGGTCCGTCTATGTGGATCTAGATCTCTCATTGGTCTCTCCCCTTCTCGTGTGCCAAGTGTCGCGTACCGCACCTTGTAAAATGTTGGTGGCCTTGTCTCGGATCTATACATACTACTTGTACAGAGCCAGCGATGTTGCGGTTTGCGCCTACATATAATATTCAGCTTGTAGCCAGTGTGGATGGTGCCGAGTTTTTTTTTCTTTCGTTCCAAATTTGCGTGCATCAAGCAGCACTACTCGTCATCCTGTGGACTGCAAATGAGTTCAACCCATCATACTGCTGTAAGCGCATAACGCAAATTTGCACAACTTGATATTTCACTTTGATCCTAAAGCCAGCCACCCTGCTGCTGTCCCCCATGTCCCGTCGGCAACTCACGTCTGCATACGTAAACTGGGCGGTAGATATGTGGCATGTGCCAAACCCTGAAGGTCCTCGAGACAAGGATCATATCTTGTTGTTGTTGTTGTCTCCACATTAAAAACCGTTCCGATCTCTCTCTACTCAGTACCTTCGTATGTCCGTACTGATACACTACTCTACGCGGTCGATTCCCGTGGTCGCAGGCTAACTTACCATATCTACAAGTACGACAATACACAGCGGCCATCCCCCATCAGAAGAATACTACAGTACTTCAAGCATATAGCAAAAAGTCTTAGATATGAGAATTAATGGATTTTTTTTTTTTCGGAGACCCACTGCCTGCCCAGCATGCACGTTCGTGTAATAAATTGCTTGATGAAAGCTCCTGGCTGTTGCTGTGGCTGTTGCTGTGGCTGTTGCTGCGCCCATACGACACTGCTGCTGTAACCTACTCTCTATTTGCTTTGTTCGTACCAGTATGCTTGCTGCTGCTGCTGCCGGAAATGTCCACGTATTCAATTCTAAGCAATCAAAAACTATTCTGTGGTTTCATTTCGAAGGGTGGTACATACAGCAGTACTTTTTTTTTGTGTTTCTTGATGTATTTTTTTTTGTGTTTCTTGATGTATTTTTTTCCACCTCTATTCTCCCCCGCGACACCACCGAAGATCGTCACAAACACCGATCGCTCCCCCCGACAACGACAATAATGACAACTACAGTGACGGTAAACTTCGCCACGTACGTGCACACCCCGGCGGAGCCTCTGTTCGACATCGGCTTCCTGGTCATCCCGGAGCAGACTCTCGACTCCCCCTGGAGGCCGGTGAGCGACACGCTCACGGCACTCCTCCCGGGCATCGCGCTCCTCCGCAGCCTCTTCATGGACCGCAAGCAGCGCGTCACCCTGGTCACGTCCTGGTTCCGGCTCGTGTCGATCGTCTACATGCTGCGCTGCCTGACGATCGGGTTGACGTCGCTGCCGGGGCCGGCGCCCCACTGCAGGGACAAGGCCCTGTACAACCCGCCTGTCAGCTGGCACGAGATCGCGACGCGCATGGGCGTCATGTGAGTGTTTTCCGTCGGGGGGGGGGTGTCCTCATAGTCGTGCATGCCGTAGTCGTTAGACCATTGACCTCGCATCCCTACAAAGCCGGGACGGAGCACGCCGGGTTCTCACCGGACCAGGCTCTCACATCACCAAGCGCGAAGCGCCGTGAGATATTCGGCGAGTCGCATGAAGGGTGCGCTGCATCCTGCTAAGGGTGTTCGGCATCTTGTGCTTACTTCCTTGCGTACGGATGACAGCTGCGTATGAATTAATTTATTTTCTGGTGCTTTCACTTCCAGAGACAGTTGTAAGCACTGTGTAACTGCCTCGAGGGTGCTTGACCATTTTAACACAACGTGGTGCGATCATCCCCCTTGCGCGGAGCGAGGGTTCTCCACCCCGCACAACATGATCTACTCGACCACCATTATGGTTACCGCCAAAAAAAAAAAAACGGAGGAAAAAAAAAAAAAACGGTAACCTGGTTGCCGAGTTTACGAAGTGAATTGGCTTGATTTACAACGTCGTTGCCAATCGACGAAACCCAATCCCGATGGCAAACACCGGGGGGGGGCAGCTTGTTTTACAACGTCGTTGCCAAGCGACGAAAACCCAATCCCGATGGCAAACACCGGGAGGGGCGTTCCCGTCGGGGGGGGGGTGTTTATGGGAGTGATGGTTAGTGCGCTGGCGCGTGCGTGTGTTTTGTGTACATATCTGCCACCGTCCCGACTAGCTGCTGCTAGGTTGCCTGAACAGGCGACAGGCAGTATATAGACCAAAATGTGGCGCGTGCCTGTTCCAAGTGCTTTGTTAGTGTCCTCCACCAGTTTTAGCGCGTACATAGTGTTGTTGCCAGAGTTTCTTCGTTCCTTTCGAAGTTGCCGGCCTAGGTTCTAAAACCCAATGGAGCGTTCCGATTGCTGTCTTCTTACACTTTATAAGGAAGGTTATTTGCGAACAATACAATTTTATGAACCTACACGTCGCTTATCGTCCATTTCAAAATCATACCCGCTACTCGTACCCATACTTTTGCTGTAGGCGGTATAAATTTTGTTTGTTTTTAACGTCGTACCCGTGTTTGGCTCTGTTCTTTGGCTGACAGGGTCGGGGATTTCAGCTCTTGCGGGGACTTGCTCTTTTCCGGGCACGCGGCGTTTACGACGCTGACGATGCTTATCTTCGTCAAGTCTTGGAGGGGGCACGCAACATACCGCGTGTGGAAGGCGCTCGGGGTCGTGTATCTGCTGACCATGTGCACGCTGGCCATCGCGGGGCGAAAACACTACACGGTGAGAGAACAAGACGAGGCTAAGATTTATAGATTTGAGACAACAGAAAATATTCTTGTTTCGTACCATGTGTACGCCGCATTCCGCAATGATCCGCCTTCGGGGTTAACTTGAGTTTGTGAGTAAATAGAACAGCCGTGAGGGGGTACAGTACGCAGACCCTGTCCCTGACCTAACCCTAGCCCAACTTGCCCGGATTGCATGCTTTGTCCAACATGTTTCCTCACTTTTATAATAGTATTAGAAGTAGTAGAAACACCGGAAGGCTGCTTGCTGCCGCCTTCTTGGGGTCTTGGGCGAGGGTTATCTCACTCGCCGCTGAAAATATTGTCTCACGCCAGTACTCGTCCTCGATCTCCTCTGGACCCCTGTTCATTGCGACCCCCACCCCTCCCCCCCCCTGGATGTTCTCTCCGCAGGTGGACATCACGCTGGGCATCCTTGTCGCAAGCCTGACGTTCTTCCGATTTGAGAACGGCTGGAGGGCGTCTTTGAATGGGGGTGCGGGTAGCGGGAACACGGCCGCTGCGGTCAAGGCGGCCTACGACCCGCGGACAGAAAAGAAGAATGCCCCGTGGGTTGTTTGATTTTGGCCCCCCTACACCCCCCCCAACCCGTGCGCCCTCGAGCGCTCATCGTCGCTCCTTTTTTTATCCCTGATGGGGGAACACTAATATTCTTTGCCTCGTTTGTGTATTTTTGAAAATGTGAAAGTTTGACCATGTGTGTATGTGTGCGTTTGAGTTTTCATGCTCGCATTCGTGCTCGCGCGCGCAAGTTATTTTTTTTTTGTCGTTTGTGTCACCCACCTGTACGGGGGCGCGCGTTTTTTGCGTCTGCGCATTACGCATTATCGTGTGTCTGGTGGGTCAGTGCTCGGGGTGGGGACTTGGCTTGTGATGGCTGCGCCCCCCCCCTGCCCAACTCCTTTCTCTTGTTTCGAGAGGATGCGAGAACCGAGCAGGGGTCAACTAGGCTCCAGTTGGCGTTTGCCTTTTCCGGTATGGAGGGGGGGGAGGGGGGGGTGCTGCAGCTTTGGGCGGCGCTGCGTTAGAGAAGGGCCAAGCGAGTCGGGAATATTGGAGCTAAAGAGAGGACACACACACACACAGAGGCGACCGGCCAGCGTTTGGTGCCAAATCAGCTGTCCTCTATTGTGAGTCTATTTATGTGTTGAGGTGTGTCAACGTTGATGGAACTCCTTTTGGGGATCGGGGCGGCCGGTGTCAGAAGAGCCGTGGCGTGCTTGGGTGTGCTGTTCTTCACAAAGTTGCTTCAGCAGCGGGGTGTGCTTACGTTGTATGATACGAAGCGTGTTAGCTCTTACAAATCTCTATCGTATACCGCGTGCCTTCAGAGGGGAGAAGAGGAGGAGGTTGGGTTGGATACGTGCATGGTTCTTGCTTTTTTTACCACTGGTCTTCTAGACTGAGCTACACGTGATACAGTGGGCTTCCTATGATCTGCTCGAGAATATAAAGTATGAACGGTTTCGTGTCAAGAGAGGCGGGTGTTTGCCTTGATGTTTCAAGATTAGTAGTTAGAGTCAGGCTGCTTTTGTGGCGGCATTGGCGGGTGTCGGAGCGGGCGCACCCTTCAATAGAAGGTTTTGGTATCTCACTTGTGTGCGTACGCGTATGATGGTGGTGGTTGTGATGGGCGGCGGCTCTGCTCCTCTCCACGAGTCGTATCTCCGCAAGATTGCGCCGCCGTGTTGTACAACGCTTCCGTCTCGAGTTTTTGTTTTTTCTGCCGTCTGGAAGACACGACGGATCTGGGGAGAAAAGGGGAGGTTAGTCGACATATCTCCCAGTGACTTCTTATCATCCGAAAGAAAGGAGGGGCCGTCTTGTGGGCGGGTGATGGGACGTTTTGCCATGTGGCGGACGGAGCGCCCTTGTGTGGTGAGAGTGTTCGATTGAGGCACGATCTCCAGTGCACCTGGCTAAGGGTGAAAATTGGTGCGTGTTATTTTTGGGTGGTTACCGTCTGCTGCTGCCGCTGGCGTCAAATGAATGCTCGGCCGAAATTCTGTTGACGTTGCTGTCTCTAGAGCGCCGGCCATCCAGCCTTTGGAGCCGGAGGGCTGGACGCCTTACGACGGTGTCATGCGGTAATTGGCAGGAGGCACATGTCCCCACTCCGCCATGATTCTCTCACACTCTGTTGCTTCGGCTTCCTCCTGCAGTTGTAGAAGTTGGGCGGATCGGATTTCTTTGTTTCGTTGGCATGCATGTTTCTTTTTCGTTTCGATTTTTTTACGCACACTGCCTGCTGTGCCTGCCGTGCCTGCTCGCCGTTCTCCCCGCTGTTGTGTCGTCCGGGTGAGGTGCGATTGACGAGGTGAAAGTATGTGAACGACGTGCAGCTGGTCTTTGGAAAATACTAAACTGTCGTAAGCGTAAAGGCGGTGTTGTGTCGTTCTTTTCTTTGCTTTTTTTTCGTCGGCCGCCGTGTTTACGCCGGCCGCCGCAGAGCCGAGAGGATCAGAGGCGACCAACCCACGTGTCAGGGCGTAGAGCAGGGCTGTGTTGTTGTTTCCGATAACAAAACGTCTAACCATCTGTGTAGGGTCGCCAGCCAATGCGAGAAACCCACAGCTGCTGAGGAGGTGCTCAATATAAGCCCTTGATTTCTTTTTTTTCGTCACGTGGTCCTTTGTTCTTTCTATTTGTGTAGCTTGCTGGATCAGATCGAGCTCGCCGGGCCGGCGATAAGTTGTAGCCAACCGCGTGGTGGACGGAAGCGGGTTGCTCGGCTGTTGTTGCTGTTGCTGATGGTGGTGCCGGAGGCCAACTTGTGCTTGTAAATATGCGCGCGCTGTCTTTCTAGCGTGCTCTGCGTGCTCTGCGTGCATGTAGTATGTGTGTGTGTTGGGCGACTTGGGTCATGTCTTCCGCCCGTACGTACTCTCCTGTTGGTATTTTATCTAGAGTAATGTGTAGTCGTTAGTGTATGGATGGCAGGCAACGGAGACAAGAGAAATGCCTCCCTAGTTGGGTGGGGCGCACCTAACCGAGTGCCACAAACAACGGTGAAAAATCACAAAATGAAAAAATATATTACAAAACATCGAATCGAGACGTGCTTGCTGCCCCGCCGCCTGTTTGTCCTTCACCTCCAATATAACAGTCGACTTGACGATCGACGAAGGGAAGGACCTAGCGTGTCGCCACCGCTTTCGCGATGAGAATGAAGTTCGGCGCCGCAGGAGGGACAACAGACAGAAAGCTGGCTCCATTTTTAACCCCAACTAGTGCGCCCGAACATACCAAATATGGCGTGTGCCATGATGAGTGGACGTCCAGAGAGCAAAGGGGAACATGCATCGATTCCGCCGAAGCGCCCGAAACCTACTGGTTGCTGTTAAACAATGTGTCGTGCAATCAGCCGTATGTATACCTACAGCAGTAGGTGTCGAGATAATCAACGTGCGGTCATAAATCTAGAGGCAAAAGAGCGAGGACATTTGAGCACGTGAAACGGACACACAGCAGTTAACACACGAGAAAATTCACGGATCAACACAAGACACAGGAAGGAGTTAGGTTTGCTCGTTCGGCCCAAAACAAGATCCTGAGCACGGACCCGAAATACTTCCAAGTAAAAACATTTCTGATGGATCTCCTGGCGCATCGCGTTAATATCACATCCTTGGACCTTTTTGTCTACAATTTTTCCAAAGCCGCGGCCGCGTTGTGTGCGCGCGGGTGGCGGAACGAAGAAGAATAACGCGGCGTACACCAACCCACTTCTTCAAACTTGATGGCTTTTGCGTGAAAAATGAGGACGCTTCGTTAAGAAGCACTTCTTCCATTACCCCAATGCCAAAAAACGCAGTCACACCACTCACAAACATATAAATGTCGAATATTTACGAGCACCCACGTTTCGGTTGGAGGGGTTGTCGGGTGTCACCTCGTTCAATATTCCTCGCCTGAGACATGTGACAGACAACATGAGCCGTTTTGCGCCCCTCCTCCCCCCTCCCCTACAATGCATGACGAAACCAAAAAACAATCACCACAAGCAATCCCCCTTCCGAAGCGGGTGGCCGGATATGCCATGAAACACGCTGATCAACGCAGCACAAGTAACACCAACCATCCCACAGTGAACAGCAGAAGCGTTCTGTCTCGGCCGATGAAATCGTGCCCGAACAAACAATAAATAAGATGAATTTTTACGTCGTTACCTTTCAATAACACATGAGAACGATCTTGGGCAAACGTGAGGACCTACCAAAACGGTGAAACAGTCGTCAATTTTTGCGAGAAAGGGGGGGGCTTCGCCGAAAAAACCGTGTATCATCTTTTGCATATGGGGGAGGTCAATCGACACAAAACCAAGCCGAAAAATGCCAGATGGACGGAGACATGAAACTATAAGCACCCTCTGCCCCAAATCTCTGCCCTTATGCTAAACTCGCTGTTTCGTCATGTCTCACCTACCGCGCAAAACACACCGATCCACGTTCATCTCGTGCACTCTTTCCCCCCGCGAAGCCGACTGGGCCAAACACTAAATAAACACCAACGGCGGGCGGCATCCTGCCACCGAATCCCTTCCCTATCGGACATTGGTTGCATCAGTGCCGCCCCAAAGACACACAAACCGGTATGATGATATATTGAACAAGCACACACCAAGACACAAAACTAACGCAACACACGACGCCCGGCCAAACACAACACAAAAAAAAAAAACGGGGAAGCATACGCCGGGTGCGTCGCGTGAACCTCCACTTCACCCCAAGCTCAAATCACGTGCAGGGGGGGGAGGGGGGATGGGCAGCAGAAGCTGCCGTCTTGCAGTTGTACACAAGATTCAGAAGCTCTGTCCCCGTGCCCTGCCCCCCCAAACCACTTTTCTTACTATGACGAGACACCCGCAGCAGAGGTTGGGGAAATCAACGCCAGAGGCTCAAAACAAAACAGCCAAGTCGAAAGATCGGACGCGACGAGAGAAAATAGGGCAAATGCCATCGCCAGAGACCCTCTACATTCTAAGTTCCACACAGCGCCAAAATGAACGTCTAGCCCCCCACCATGCAACTTGGGCTTGGGAGTGATTTGCGAAGAATCTGTTTCGAAGAAAAATAACGGAATCCAGTCAAACCACCCACACCCCGTTGCAAACCCACTTTTTTACCGCTCGCTCCTCTCTCTCTACCTCCCGCTCACTCGTGCGCCCTCGCTCGCCCCACCAACAATCCCCGGCTACCTGCCAATGGAGTCGAGTAGGCTTCTCAACGCCTGGGCCGGCCGTGCTTACCCTTCAGCCCATTCTTGCCTGAAAACTACCCAAGCGAATCGGACCACCGAACGATCTGCGAAACGGTATTACTTGGGAGTATTTATCACACCCGAAAAAAACTCCAACCGAAACCTCCCTACTCAACACTTCATCCAGTACAATTGATCGGCAACGAGCCCCCTCACCAGCAATGACATGAAAATGAGAAGAGTAGCGTGAAACTCCTGAAACACGGGAGTCTTGACTTCGTCTAAACATGCAACCCACGTCGTCTATCTCCATCTCTCTCTCTCTCTCTCTCTCTCTCTCTCTCTCTCTCTCTCTATCCTCACGCAACCCGACATCAATTCTCACCATATATCACCATTATGTACTGACTTATCTGCACCACCTGGGCACGAGAACAAACAAGAAGATAAAATCTGAGCCATGCGAGATCTCGATCTCCCCTTCTCATCACCGCGCCCTACTTTTCTTCTTTATTTGCTCCTCGCACGCGCTTGCTCGCTGCAAGCAAGTTTTCCGCGCTTTGCATCGCGCGGAGGGTCGGTGGGATTTACCCACAGCCTACAGCTACGTCATACACCTACAGAGCCTACCTTCCCTACTAGTACACCCCTCCCCAATTTGTCTGTTTGCCTCAAGCCATTTCAACGTGAGCTCCTAGCGCAAACGTGCAAAGTACACAAGACTCATACGTACGCTAGTTGATGAGCGACGGCGGCGGGGGCGGGGGTTTAGGCGCGTTCATCCATCCCGTTCCTACCCGACCTGATGGTAAAGTAAATAACCTCTTGCCACGCCTAACAAGCCGCCAAAATAATTACAAGGGAGGTTTTGACAGTCGCAATGCCATCTGGATCCTCCTGCATATCTGTAGTTTGCACGCATTACAGCAGGTCCTTTGTACGAAAGTATTAATACCACGTGAGTGAACCGATCGCACCATCCTCCCTCCCCGGACCTGACCACCTGTAGGGCAACAACCCAGGTCGTTGTCAAGACCAGACCAGCACCGAAACATCCCTACCCCCATAAGCAGACACTCCTCTACGCTGAAAATCCTCGCTGTCCTTCCCCCCCCTCCCCCACTGAACACTGGCCCCAATAACCCCTCCTCCGCCTACCCTCAACACGCATTCCCACCACACCCACGCCACCACCAAGAACCCCGACAGACAACCACAAGAGAACAGAAGAGAACACCCCGCCGCCGGAAGACACAGAAGCCTACCTGCCAAAACGCACGCCCCTCTTAGGGACTGCCCGTTTCACTCTCACCACAGCCGCACCCCCCGGAAAGGGGCAAGGTTGAGGTCTATCGAGAACTCGTTGATGCGGCACCGAAGGACGGGGCCGGTCAGGGCCCACCTCTCGAACTCCTTTTGAGTCAGCCCGGCGCCCCCCTGCGCCTGGCCGAACTCCGACACCGCCGCCGCCGCGTATCTCTCCGCATTCCGCTGCGCCATCTCCCGGAGGAGCTCCGCCAGCGCTTCCGGGTCCCTGCTAACCCTGGCGCTACAACCTCGCCTGCTGCTCCTGCCGCTGCTGCAGCTGCTGCTACTGCTGCTGCTGCCCCCTCCCCTCCCGCCGCACGCCTCCTTTTTTCCTTCCTCACTATCCCTAAGGCTGTCCTCCTTTGAGGGGAGCCCACCCTCCCCCCCATTTCGGGGTGATTTTTCCGCCCCTCCTTTGCACTCTCCGCCACCACACCAGCCGCGGTCGTTGTCGCCGCCTCCGCCTCCGCCTCCCCCTCTGCCTCCGGCTCCCGCTCCGCCGCTACAGCCGTCGCCGTTGCAACCCGTGCAGCACCAGCAGCAGCTGCAGCAAAACATGCCATCGCCGCCGGTGCCTCCTCCTCCGCCACCGCCGATAACCCCCCCGCCGCTGAGGTGGCCGGTGGTCATGCCGCCCTTACCGTCCGTGGTAAAGCTCAAGAGGGCCGGGTAGGCCGCTGCCTGCGAGGCGCTGGCGAGGACGGCCGTTATGTCCTCGAGGGTGAGGTACTTGCTCCTTCGGGACGGCTTGGCCTTGCCGCCGCCGCCGCCGCCGCCACCGCCGCCCGCGGTGCTGTTTCCGCCGCTCAAGCTGCTGCCTCCGCTCGATTGGCTCGATTTCCGTCGCTCTTCGCTGGGCGCCACTCCCGACAGGTCGTAGGCGGAGTACAGGAGCTTGAGCCTCTCCCTCTCTGGTCCCTGATCGCGGTGGAGATGGAAAAGTGGGGAAGGTTAACGGCTGGAAGAAGGCGGGTGGGAATATACACGGAAAGTCGGGAAGAGGGAAAGAAACAGCGAGTGGGTCGAGTGGGAGAAGAACTACAAGTTGGGTTCGAACATCTCAGCCGAGAGAGAACTGAGTGCGTGTATTGGGGTTGGATCGCTTCTTGGCGTGGAGTTGTTGGCGACCGGTGTCAAAAGCAAGACCAACCGAACGCTCTCAGGCTACTTATTATGTGTCATTTTCGCCAGATTATTTTTGATCAATAATGATCTAGGTGTCACATCCGGCTTCTTATGACACCTAGATCATTATTGATCAAAAATAATCTGGCGAAAATGACACATAATAAGTAGCCTAAGAAGCCGGATGTGACACCTAGATCATTATTGATAAAAAATAATCTGATCAGATATTACACATAAGAAGTACCCTCCTAGGCCGCCATTTTTTCTCCAACTTGACCTATAGGTTGTGCTGAGCCATTCGCAGATCTTCTCGATGCGAAGGAGGCAGGCAGGTCCGCGCATTGTTGGGAACGAGCTACAAGGCCGACCAGGAGGAGAAACGTGGGGACGAGATTATCGTTCGGTAAGAGGTTCTCAATACACAAAACCCTACGAGGAGCTCGGAGGAGAACATCCGCGTTGTCTGGAAACAAAAGGGAGACACGGGCAAGTCCAACTCGCAAGCAACGGCCAGGCAAGGACGTTGGCAGGAAAGGACGCCCGCAACCTCGCCCCGCACACCCAACTGGCACGGCAAGCTGAATTACCCCTACATAGTGCAACAGCATCGGCAACATGTCCAGTGGGGGGTGATTCACGAGAAGGAAACGCTTGAGACGGCGAGCGACAAAGGGACCCACGGAAACACGAACCGATCGAGGGGGAGGGGTGCTAACGACTTGGTCGAACGCAATGGTTGAAAGGAATTTTCCAGATGAAACTTCCTGGATGCACCCCCAAGAGTTGCAGTATAGAGCCCGAGAAATCGCTGGTGGGTGAATTGGTAGGTCGAGGCAAGCCGCGGCGCTAGGTGTATGTGCAGGGCTACACCTACTGAACTACATTCCGACATGGTGACCATCAGATTCGACCAAGACGTTTGTTTTTGTTGTTGTTATTGTTGTTGTCTTCACATTAAAAACCGTTCCGATCTCTCTGTACACAGTACCTTCGTATGTCCGTACTGGTCCAACACTCGACGCGGTCGATTCCCGTGGTCACAGGTTAACATACCCTACAAAGGTACACTCAAATAAACTCGCCCCGAGGGGTCCGCAAGTCAATAGAAATCAACGACAGATATTCTGAAGTCCTCCACTCCTTCTGCGCGCTATGCGAGGTAACAAATGAGACAAGGAGTCACCATCATGGGCGGGAGAGACAGAAAAACATCCCCTTGGTTCGATCATGGTACGTCACAACGCAAGCAGAGACAAGGCCATCTGGCACAGAAAAAGCGAGAAAAATGAAAACAGAGAAATAGAGAAAAAAAAACAAAAGGAAACAGTCTGGAAAGACAAAATGAAAAAGAGGGAGGAGAAAAAGGGACCAGGCCGAAAATGGAAAGAAGCAAGACAGAAAAAGGCACACGTTGGAGAGACCACTAACGAACAAGCAAACACGCAAACATGCCACCAACCAGCGATACATTGTAATGGCACGTCATCACTAGTGGGGGGTTGGTGCAATGGTCCAGCGTTGGGGGGGGGGAATTGGCCAAAAGAAATTCAATCCGGCGCCAATTGCGCCACTCGGTCCGTCTCTTCTCGCTTGCTTTCTTCCCTCGCCGTCTCGTCCGTCTCCTGACCCCCTCCCGCCCCATTGGTTGTTGGTATGTGGTTAGGGTTAGGGTTAGACGTCAGCACTACTGGGAGAAGGACCTGAACCGACCCCCGAACTATCGATGGCAAGCTACAAGGGCCGTGCGTGCTTATATAGCCGCCGCACACAAACGCACACACCTGTTCATCAGTGTCCAGAGCTCTCAACTGCCACTGGGGTGGACTGGCTTGGGCATGGCACTGTCATCAAATACACATTCCATTCCGTCACAAACACGGAAGGAAGAGCATACGCAGATCATTCGTGCCACTGACGGGTGCCAGACTAGCGGCGGTCTGGTGGTGGTCGCGGGCGGCGCTGTTTTCCGCGTCTCCTCCTTAGGTACACTGCGGTTTTCCCTACTGCTGTTTGTCCCGAACCGGTGGTCTAGTGCGCACGGAAACCTCGTAAACCTGCATCATGCGAGGTAGTATTTGCAGGCCGTGGGAAGCAGGCCCTGGGTTCCACTCTCTCGCGGGAGCGGACAATGTTGTCGGCTCTTGCGACGAATTTCCAGCGGTGTATTCGTGAAAAATACATACAACACAGAGGGACCGCCCTCCTCGCGAAAAAATCGCAGGGCGGGCGGAGGAACATACCGCAGCAGCATGAGAACACTAAAAGAATGTCTGTGTTGGGGAACCCTGCTCCTGACACACATGAAGGTTATACAGAAAGCCGCACATAGAACTGGTGCCGTAACAGGTGGGGGACAACAAACACACCTACCTGTTACTTGCAACGGCGGCAAACAATCGATTCCTTCTGACAGCGTGCGAATGGATGCAAACTCGTGTGCGGGGCATGGTTTGGATAGTCTACTCTGACCAACCAAATCTTGTGGAAGACCGGGCCAGGAATAAAATGCAACAGTTTTTGGGTAAACAGCCCAATGGTGGTCGCACCGTCATCACACACTACGCACCGGCGGCAGGTTCGGGGCGGTATGTGTCGCCCCGGTGGTCTAGTGGATAGTCTAGTGGGTAGCCTCGAAGCCTGCTAAGGGCCAGGTCATGGGTTCGAGTCCGGACAGAGTGAGTTTAGTCTCGCGAATTAAATCCTGGTCTCCGTTGGAAGCGACGTGCTGCAAAGCTCGTTGTTAGTGGGTGTATTGTGTGTTTTCGACCTATGTATTATGGCGACAGTCCCCCATTTTTCGTGGTGAGCCATGTCCTCCACTTTTTCAGCGTAATGTCGAGTACTACACTCTTCAGTGTATTTTTTCGTACAACAAACATCCAAGGTCACACAGGAGGGGTTACACTAAACACCAGGGCTTTTTTCTTTTTATTTCTTTTCATGCCCCACCTTCCTCCTGCGGTGCGTGCTGAATGTAAGTTTATCGCGAGAAGGGTCCAGCCGTCCCTTTCCCTCGTCCACGGTGCTGCCGTATCCACGAGAGCTTTTTTAGCTATACATTTTTGGTGTTTGTTTTTCTCCCATCATTGGACTCTGTCGTCTGCCCCTCTGGCCCCTATCCTCCACTTCTACTAGCTAGACGACCCAACCGGGGTCACACATGAGGGGGGGGTTGGACTCTCTCCTGCGGTTCATGCCTGAGGTATTTTTATCGCGAGAAGGGTACAGCAATCCCTTCCCTCGCGACTTACGAAGTCGATTATGGTTTACTAACAAACGAAGTTTGCAACGCGTTGCTTTCATCGCAGACCAGGATTCATTTAGTGAGAAAAAGACTTTCTCTGCCGGGACTCGAACCCATGACCTGGCCCTTAGCAGGCTGCGAGGCTACCCACTAGACCACCGGGGTGTGTGTGTATTTCGCTGACACCCGCAAAATTCGTTTAACTTTTCGTCCCATGGGGATTCCAACTCACGACCTCTGCGGCTAGCGGATTACGAGGACACCACTAGACCACCGGGGCGACCGGGTTTAGTAAACTTGATCGACATGATAAGTCGTGAGGGAAGGGATTGCTGTACCCTTCTCGCGATAAAAACATCTCAGGCAGGAACCGCATAGGGGGTCCAACGCCCCCCTCCAATGTGACCCCCGTTGGGTCGTCTAGCTGGTAGAAAGTGGAGAATAGGGGCCAGAGGGGCAGACGACAAAGTCCAACGATGGGAGACCAAAAAAAAAAAAACATCAAAAGGTTGGGTAGGACCCTTCAATCACCTTCGGCCACGTGTCCCTTTGGGCTACTTGATGGAAGCGCCTTGCTGTGCAATTCCTTGCGGCGGTATACTACCGCCTCTAGCTACAAGTACATAGAAGTAACAGCCTGTGATAGGAGGCCGTTCGTAAATCTGCGCGGCACATGGCGGTCGGCTATGTATCTTATGTCCGCCCAAGGACTACAAGGCGAGCCGGGGTGCAACAGAGAGGGAAGCCCCGTAGGCAAAGGGCTGCGGTGTAGGCAAAAAGTGCTCAGCACCCTGCCATCCTTCCTCCGTGACAGACATCGAGATTCTGTCTGGAAGTTGAACAACTAGTGCAGGGTAAAGTCGCGTCCCCACCGTGCTGCTACTGCTGTATCCTAGAATACTCTCTGCTACTCTTCTGCCGCCGTCGCTGGTTCGTTGTCGTTGTTGTTGTTATCGTCTTACAAAAACCGTTCAGTTCTCCGCCCTTTGATATCCGTAATGGTCGAACTGACTGCATACATAACTTCTATCACTGTTTTCTTTTTCCGAGTGGTTTGTCCCGTATTTTTGTTCGCGTATTTTTGTTTCCCCGCGGCGTCGTATGTGCCCCGTTTTGAGACCACGGGCTCCCTATTTTTCGTGGACAATAGAGCGTGTGTGAGAAACAACAACAATAAAGATACCCCAAAATCGATGGGTGATTTCCAGGCCGATTTCTAGGCAAGGAGAGCAGCGGCTTCGTAGATGCTACGGGGAGGACTGAATGGTAAAACGCACTGTTCCCCCTGGGGACCGCTCGACTCCTACTCCACACAGGGGAGGGAGGAAGGAAGGCGCCAAAACTACCCAAAGGCTACCGCCCCGCGCTGCTCTGATATGTCGGCGTACCGAAGTCACGGGGGTGTGTATGTACGCACAAGAAGGTGGCAGCGGTCAGTCGCTTGAAAGAGATGGGTCGCAATCTTGTCATATTAGGAGGGAAGTGACAAGCTTCTTGAGTTGTCGTCACGGGCGCAACGCAACAATAACAAGATAACCTTTTGGACGCTGCTGCTGCTGCTGCTGCTGCTGCTGTTGTGTAGATAAAATGCGCCGGTGTTTTTCTGCGTGACTACTGATGCAAGTCTAACTGCTGCTGTAGGTAGGGTGCTTCAAGCGTGCGCTGGTACACACGGGCCGCACAATCTTGGCACTGGCGGAGCCGGCGGGTCTAGTAGCAAGCGAATCAGTAGAAGGGAGAGAGATGCATATCCGTAAGTGACCAAGCAAGATGAGCCCGGGTAATCGGCCGAAAGGGGTGTTGCCCCAATTCCACGATCTCTTCATCCAGGTTCCTGATGATTACCCGTGGACGTTAACGAAACGAGTGCCTCCGGACAGCAGGTGTACCTCTCTTTGCTTGGACAATCGCCCACTCACAAAACGAACCACCATCACCGATAACACCACCACGCCATAAATGCACACATACACATACCTTGAGAAGCTTGCTTAGCCCGAGCACTAAGGTCTCGAAGTCCAGGAACCCAAAGCCGTTAGCGTCGAGGACATCGAAGAGCCGTGACCCGAAGGCGCCAACCACCTCAGACAAACGAAACGCGTCGCTCGACTCGCACAGGGAGAGGAACTGCGCCTTGCTCATCGCCGAGCCCGGCGCGCCGCCGCACGAAGGAGCTCCGCCGCCCCCCTTAGTGGCCTCCACGCTGCAGACGGGCGCCGGCTGGGACGCGGCGCCCAGCAGGTCGTGGTATTGAAGTTCACCAGACTGCTGCTGCTGCTGCTGTGACGACGCTCGCAGAGCTGCTTGGAATTGCTTGAAAAGCGAGCGAAGTTCCGCGAAGCTGAAGAGAGCCCGTGATCTGAGCCAGACCCATCGCACCTCGCCCGAAACCGCGGCGCACTTGGCCAGCTCCTCCGACCGAATCTCACCGTTCAGGCTAGCCTGCTTGCTCGCGTGGCACCCCATTGACGCTACTTGTGAACTTCAGGCCGTACTACTTTTTTCGGAATTCGAGACGGCGGGGTATCTGAAGGAGACAACGCAGCGACCAACAACTGGATCCTCAACCAGCAGTTGCAGTTTGTTGGGTGCGAGAACTTAGCTGAGCTGTCGCCGCCGACGACGGCGCGGCACTCCTACCTAGGCCTCGTGTGATCTCGTGAGGAGGTCCTTCTCCCCCTCTCGCTGCGGTGGTAGTCGTAGATCTCAACGTATGGTATCTATGCGTTGTGTGTCTTGGTTGACTATTGAAGAGGTGTGAGCAGGGGGAAAGACAGACAGCAGCCTTAGAGACATCGGAGAGAGGGGGTCATGACGTCATCTCCTAGAAAAATATATAATGAAGGTTCGATGACGTCATATTTGTATCACTTCATTTGCAGGTGTCTTGCAGTTTATTGTCTTGAGACGTCTTGAACATCTCCGAACATCCGACCGAACCAACGATGATCCGAACCACAGGAAACCAAGATAGGAGACGGTTGTTTCATTGTTTCCCTTTTTTTGCCCTTCGCCCATCCCCAGCAAGACGTGTCCCCCGTAGGTATTCTCTGTTCTCTCTCTGCTTCCCCGCCTCGGTCATCAGTCATCAGCATTTATTTGTGTTCTTTCCAGGCCCCGCTTTGGCAGTGGCACGGGGAACAACTGCTCTTCTTGGACATAGCTTCCAAGATAACGCCGAGGGTGAATTGTACGAAGTTGTAAAAATATTTTGTGTTTCGCCGCACGTGATCATGACGAGTGATGATGCTTCTGAGGAAGTGGTTTCGGTGGAGGTTTTGTGGGTCGGCATGGTGATTCTGGCCGTGCTGCTGATGCTGCCGGCGAGATGGGGTGCTGGCTCGTCTATCAGAAAAGCATCTCGGGCACCGGGGTCGTCATCGTCACGCCGCACGGGCAGCACCGGCACCAGCACCAGCACCCATGGTTGTTCGACTGCCGCCGCGCTCGAGAAACGAGCGGAAGAGCTTGAGGCGGCAGGAGACTTGGACGGAGCAATGGAGGCTCTTCTCGCCTCTCATGACCAGGGCTCCTCGAGGGCCGTTACGCTGGCGCACGAGCTGTCCCAGCGACATCCCGTGGGAGCATTAGGAGGGAATAGATGCCCGCTGAGCATTCGGTCTCCTCGGCGGAAGGTGGGTGGTGGCGTGGAAGCTGGGGCTTCACCCGATCCCGAGGCTTCGTCCGCTGCTGTTGCTGATGCCGATGCCGCGGCTCCTGCCGCCGTCTCTGTCGTCGCCCCTGTCTGTGCGGCTGCTTTGACCTCCCTAGCTAGCGAGGTCCTTGCTGATGACAACAACGACGGCGTAACAAGCGTGCCGGAAGAGCATTGTAAGCGATCACTACCATCGGGCGAAGAACGAAGACATGTTACTCTTAGCGGTGAAAGCGCCAGCGCGACAGCGGCAGGACCAGCAAGCCAGTCGGCCGCGACGACAGCAACGGGGGCCCTGGAGCCTGGAAAAAGGATCGACCATGGTGGCGGCGAACCCACCACGACTACTCTACTGCCTTGGGAGAGAGGCTGGCAGGGAAGAGAGGGCTTCAAGCCACCGCCGTCGTCGTCAGCACTCGCCGACACGGGCTCGTCCGCTAGTCGCGATGCTGCCGGAACGGCGGCGGCGTTCGGAGCTGGCTTGTCGCCGTCGTCCTCGTCGTTTGCAGAGACGGGCGTCCAGAGCGACGATGCTCTGGACGTTGGAGACGCGGAGGCGACGAAGTTGGCGAGGCGGAACTTCACGGTGCGGCAGCTGAATGCTTTCGACGGGGGCTGCTCGGCTCCGAGGATGAGGGGAGGGGAGGCAAGAGCAGGAAAGCAACGCCCCATCTACATCGCCCTGAAAGGGGAGGTATACGACGCGTCTGCGGGGAGACATCTTTACGGCCCGGTGAGTGGAAGCACGATGACCACTAGACTACTAGTCAGCGCTGACTAGTAGTCTAGTGGTCATCGTGCTTCTAACAGAGACAGACAAGCACCTCGCTTTTATTTTCAGCATGTTGGTGTGCGAGAACAGGACACGAGAAATAAACTTCAAGGCACGCACCGCTGGAATGTTTTTAACGAAGTTTACCGTGGTCCTGACCTGTACGTGGTGTGTAGCGACCGGTGCCTCGAGCATTCTGTTTGAGGTGTACGCGGTGTGCTCGAACCCAGCGCTCCTGGTTGTGCTGGTCTTGTGACGATGCATAGCCTACTACAACTGCGATCGCATGCATGCCTCCGGCGATGGGCAGGTGCAATCTTCGTTGGCTTTCAGGCACGTGATGCCGGTGTGCGCACACATCGTTGGCTGATTATAGAGGGCGTTACCGCCTAGACTGAAGTTCTGTTCGCGGCAGGGGGTCTATGGCAAGGCTCGGACAAAACAGCAGTCCATGTATGTAGGCGCTTCAGTTCCTCAAGCGTGCAGCATGGTGTGTACCCAAGTTTCTTGTCACAAACATGCTTCTCGAGTTGTGTGGTTTCTCTTGTTCCTCAGCGGAAATCAACTTTATCTCGCGGAAGAGCGGGCTTTCTTTGACCTGCTCGTACTTGATTACTGTTCCTGTTGCGGGCTTGGACGCTCGCCAAAGATTTGCAAAAATAATCGCCCCCAAGTCTTTGGGTTTGTTGTAGCACAAGTGCTCTCACAGCACACCACAGCAGTGCGCGACGGTGTACCGCAACCACTCTTGATTGTTGTTTTGTTTTAAGAGCGTTGCTGGGAGAAGCAGCTCCTCGTGGTCACTAGTTATCCGGGTAGGCGTGCGTTGAAAGATGCTCATTGAAGTACATGGCCCAACAACGTTATTTCCGGTCTGTTCGCCCGCACTGCTGTGGCCCAAACTTGGGCATTCCTGCCGGGAGTCTTTTGAGCGTTGCATGACGTATCCACGGGTACGCGGGTAGAACAGCACGTTGGGAACGGTAAGCATCATGTTTGAAAACGCAAAATGAATCTGTCAACATATCAACATGAGTATGGTGTTATCACGTGAAATGGGGGGAAACGGACGAACCATGCTAACGGGAAAGCCGGAGAAGGCGACGAGATCGAATTCAGAACAGACCTGGCGCCAGGGGAAGAAACAGCGACCAGAAAGTTTTTGCCAAGGTAGTTTTGTACTCGACTGTTCGAGGGTTCAAATATGTCTTCCCGTATAATAGACGAGCCGACTTGGGAGTGGGCAGGAGGTGCTGTCACGTCCTGTAGTTGTACTGAATTGCAAAGGTTTGGAGCCGTGCGGTGCCGAATGTGACCTAAAAAGATGTTTCGCTGACCGCATAAATACGGCTCCAGAGAGTTGTTGGTGTAAGTTTCGTGTCCCAACGGTCACGGTTATCGATCTTCGGCGTGTAAATTTTCCCGAGAGGAAGCCACAACAGCAGTGACGACGGGCTTACGACGGAGGTCTAAGGCCCATCTTTTGTTCATGTCCAAGGTTTGACACCAGGGGAGTCGTACCTATTGCGAGAAAGCGTTGTGTTGCCCCTCAACGATCAACGTCAGGGGCGATTGATTGAAGTCCGGCATTTTGGACGCCCCCATGGTTTTGGTTTTCCGGCGGTACATTTTTTTTTTCTCCCATCATTGGACTCTGTCGTCTGCCCCTCTGGCCCCTATCATCCACTTCTACTAGCTAGACGACCCAACCGGGGTCACACAAGAGGGGGGGGCTGGACCCCCTCCTGCGGTTCATGCCTGAGGTATTTTTATCGCGAGAAGGGTACAGCAATCCCTTCCCTCGTGACTTATGAAGTCGATTATGGTTTACTAACAACGAGCTTTGCAGCGCGTTGCTTTCATCCTAGACCAGGATTGATTTAGTGAGAAAAAAACTTTCTCTGCCGGGACTCGAACCCATGACCTGGCCCTTAGCAGGCTGCGAGGTTACCCACTAGACCACCGGGGCGACCGGGGTAATCTCTCGAATGAAGAAGCAACAGCAACAGCAATGCTACTTCGAGGGAGGTAGCCCTTCTACCCATTGTTTGTCTGCTACCCATTTTTGAGGCGTTTGGTGTTCTGCATTGTGTTGTGATTGGGACAAAGGATGGCAGCCTTAACTCTGTTACCCCCCCGCCCCCCGCCCCCGCCCCCCGACAGGGAGGCGAATACTCCGAGTTCGCCGGTCACGACATATCCAGAAGAGTAGCGCACGGTGCATCACACAGTGACAGATCCAGCAACACCCTCTTGGACGACCTGTCTCTCGAAAACTTAGGCCGCTTCGAGCAGATGACGTTGAGAGGCTGGGAGGACACGTTCAGGGCTCGCGGCTACCCGAGCTTGGGTAGGGTGGTCGCTCCGCCGCCCCCCCGCTTGTTCTCGCGCGCCGAGCTGCGGGCTTTCGACGGGCGATCAGCTCATGTCGCCGGGCCCGAATACGAGGAAACGGAACGAAGAGCGGGGGCGGGGAGGGAAGAACGTGAGGTAGGAGGTGGAGAACCAGGAGAACAGGTCGCGGCGTTGGGGCGGCACGAAGAACAACCTGCCGAGTCGCTGCCGCCAGAGCAGGAGGCGAAGGCAACGGCGAACGCGGTGTGCTTTAGCAACTACGCCGCTCGGCCAATCTACATGGGCGTGAAGGATAAGGTATTCGACGTTTCCTTCGGGGGCTCGGAGTTCTACCTGGAGGGCGGGCCGTACGAGTGCCTCGCGGGCAGAGACGCTTCACGCGGTAAGGGATGTCATGAGCACGCTGCGCTTGCTTGTTTTGCAGGGACCCGGATCCGTCCCTGTTTTTTCGCGGTCTGGTCGGCGGCACCTGCATGCCAGGAACAATTCACACTACCCAAGTCTTGATTTGCTCCAGGGCTCCTCCTCCCCTCTCCGCCTTCGAGACCTATTGTATGGTCGAGACAACTCGGTAATCACTTTCATGAGCACACGCCTCCCGCCCTCTCTCTCTCCTCCGCCGCTTTCGACAAAATGTATCCGTTGGTGCCTCCAGTACTGGCCAAGATGTCGATGGCGAGCGAGGACATCGAGGGGGTCTTGGACTATTCTTGTCTGACGGACCGGGAGGAAAAGAACCTGGCTGATTGGGTGGCGAAGCTCGGGGAGGGAGGCAAAGGGTATCCCGTCGTTGGTTGGATAGACCTTGGTTCGTACCGGAGCGGACGTTGAAGAGTGAACCGCGCGAGCAAGCAAGCGCGTTCACGCACCGTTTCCCTTTGTTGGATTGTCGTGTTGCTGTTTCTGCCGCATAGAATGGTGGAAACATTGGACGCTTCCCCCACCCCCTCCGCCGCCGCTGCTGCACTGCGCATTCCTTTTTTTCATACCAGACGATTTGTTGTCTTTCCCCCCCTTCCCGTTGAGTTGGGGTGTAGCTAGGCGTTCGCGTTGTGTACTGGGTGAGATATGCTCTGGTTGACGACAAGTGGTGCTTCAGCGTTGTATACCGTGGCGCACAGCTCCGGCCGCGGCACTGCTGTGATGCCGTGTGGATCGGTTGGGTTTTTGCCGTTCACTACTGTGCCAGTGATGTCCATCTTCTGGGTGTCGTGCTCGAAGGAGGAGGACGGTCTACAGCAGTGCTCCCGTAGAAGATGCAAGTGCCCGCTACTTTCCCGCTGGCCGTTTTTTCGATCCTCACCACGATGTTGATTTGGCAGACTTAGCCGACGTTAGGAAAACAAGTCAAGGCGCTGCGGCACAGCAGTGCGTCCTTCTTTGATCTATCTACCGTTGACCTGGTTCCGGGGCTGCCTACTGTAGTTTTCCAGTGCATGTCGGTGATTCCATCGACACCACTGCGAGAGTTGTGGCCTACAAGTTCGGTAGTGCACGAGGTCACTGTGTTTACTACCCGAGGTTTCCGTGCAACATCTGACGTTGATGTTGTTGCGCACGGCGGAGGGTTTCTTCTGCGTGGCCCGGTTCTCGGAACGGCGTGCGTACACCAGCGTTGGCGACTTGTTTGCGGTCACCCCAAGAGTTGAATAGTTTCTGGGTGTTCGTTGCAGGAAGACACGAAACCAAAGCAAAAGCAACTTTCCAGCCCTCAGGCTATACACCACGGGCGCTACTGCAGTCGGCCTAATTAGGCCTGGCCCACTCCCAAACCCTAACCCTAGCCCACACCCCAAGCTTGGTTGATTTGCAGTGGGTAGGCCTAGGTCGCTATACCGAGCTACTGGAGCGCGCTTCGCATTCGCAAACGTTGGTACACGCACGCCGCGCGCCGGTTTCGAGAGTATTTGGTGCCAAACTTTGTTCGTCGTGACTTGACTGTATAATCCACACTGCGAAATCTCAAAGAATGGTGAACTTTCTCCGCCGTAACACCGTGGCTTAACTTTGAAGTATTGCTAAGCAACGGTACCACTCCTGACTAGGTGCGTAAGCGCGGTGCACGATACGCTGGAACGCACAACCCGCTTGCTTTGCGCAAAGAATACTGAAAACTGCAACAATTGTGCCCGGACATGAAAGGAGGCGTTTGTCTTGTCGCTGGACTGTAGCCGCGTCACGCACGACGGCCTCTTCATACCTAACCCGACAACCGACCGACCGACCAGGCGTCCGCTGTGGCATCTCTGTCTGGCCTCAAGGGGGATCAGAGGCATCGCCGTCTACGCTTGATCGCTGTTTCGGCGCGCAATCCCATGTCGCCGTAGAGGAACACCAGGCACGGGACATGGGAGACATCTCGAGACGTGTTCAAGTTTACCGCCTCTCTACGCCAGAAAAAGTAGCAGCGGTTTCCGCCGTTGGTCCGGCCGCAGCCGTGCCTCCCGCTTCTGAGCCAGCGGAACTGGTCACCATGAGGGTCGTGATCCTCCTAGGGGGAGTCGCAGTGGGCATAGGCATGTTTGCCATATTTTGGGCGTGGTGCTACGCCGAACACAGGCTGTGGCTGTTGGGATCAGCAGCGGCACCGCCAGAGGGTAACGGCATCGATCAGCCGCTGCTGGCGGCGCACGAGGAGGAACAGGAGTGCTGCAGCTGCCCTATGGACGAATTAGAGGCGCAGCAACAGCGGAGCGATGTGGCTGCCCGAGCCGCTTCTCTGGGCGTTCCTACGGATTCTACATCATCCGTTCCTTCGGTAGACTCTACATCTAGCCTTGCCCTCGCAGCAGCAGCAGCAGCAGCAGCTGCATCAAGTAATATAGAGGGGGAGAACGAGGAGTTCACCGCAGCGGAGCAACCGATACGGCCGCTGCTACGAGACTTCACGATTGCGGAGCTCAACACTTTTGATGGTGGTGAATCACCCCTTTCTCGGAAGCCTCACCCGATATTTATCTCCCTGGGGGGCACCGTGTACGATGCGTCCAACGGGAGAGGGATCTACGGGCCGGTGAGAGATGAAGTTGTGGCGACTGCCTGGTCTTGCGCATAAGAGTGTTGAACTACGGCAGTACCGCTGTACATACACCGCAATTTTTCAGCCATTGGTGACTTGTTTGAAGTCGCTGGTTTTGTTCATGACTGGCACGGTGTTTTTTGTGTAGCTCGCGCCGCGCCACGATGCTAGTCTACAGATCAATCCCTTGCAACACCTGTACCTGTTCTTGAAGATGGACGTGGTGGTGGTGTCGCCTCCGGGGTGCTGTATTCCACTCGCTCTTTATGCACTTTCGAGGCGTCGAATTTCCATATGTGTAGAAACAGCAGTTGGATTTCCTTGCCCTCTTTGCAAGCAACCTGGGTTATTTTTCGCCATAATGTCGTAGCACCACACCCACGGCTACCGCGGAACGTCAATCGTTGTTGAAGCCGCAGTAACAGAGTTATATTGGTGGGATTGTGGGGTGACCAATAGCCAGAAACGGTAATACCCGAGTACTTTACCACCACTCAAGGGTACACTTAGAAATCAACACGCTTGCACCCCCAGGCTGTCAGCTGATTGGCCGAAAAAACATCGTACCCATTTCGGAAGAACCCTCCATCGGGTACAACTACCGCTGGCATTAGGACCCTCCGGTGTGACCGATGTGGATTACTGGTGTACCCGGAAGAGGTCGATTTTGTACCCAGAAATGGTCAAATAATCCCGGCGCCCGACGCTCCAGCATAAAATCCGCAGAAAAAAACGGGTACCGCACATCCCGCCTACCGCACATACATACCAACAACCAAACCACCAACAACGCTCGCTCGTTGATGGGCACCGCCTCCATAGGATACCGGCCCTTCTCGACAGAGGGTTGGACTCACTTGACGCGCGAGTTCGTTCGGTGTGGTGCTGATAGGTAAAAGCACACAGAGAGAGAGAAGCACAGAAAGAGAAAAAAACGGGGACGACCTGCCTCGTGCATCATGCTTCCGAGGCACAGGACACAGACAGCGGTTTATTGGTTTCGCCGCGATCGACGGCGGATGCTGTCGGAGATTGGTGTCGTGTTGATTTCCAAGTGTACCCTGAAATGGTGATATTCCACCCGGGTACTCCCGTTTCTGGTTACTGCCCTTGTGGGGTTGCCCCTCCCCCCCCCTCCTCGAGTTTCTAAACACATGTTGGCCGTACAGCAGTCTCTTTTTTTATCGCAACTCTCGTGGTCGCGAACGTGGCTCTGTTCATTCACCACGGCTAGATGATGGCACACCAGCACGAGCCAGCCCTCCTCGTTTTCCAACCCTCGATCCCCCCCCAATGCCCGCAACTCCCGCAACCAGAGCGGTGAGTTGGCCGCCTTCGCCGGCCACGATGTATCAAGGTGGGTGGCCAGGGGGCTGGTGGCCTCGAAGGACGACGGCAAGAGCGACCTGGATGACCTGTCGCTAACGGGGCTGAACCGGATCGAGAGGATGACGCTGGCGGGCTGGGAGGAGAGGTTCAAGGCGTGCGGCTACCCTGTCGTCGGCAGGGTAGTGCTGCAGTAGTATTTTACTTCATACTCTCGTGCTTTACCGCTGCTGTAGCATCATTGCAATCAATCGTGCTGCGTTGGGCGAAAGGAATGGTGTTCCGAGAGCCGCTCTACTGCACACACGCGGAGATTTCGCTGTATGGTGTTTTCCAAGTTGGTCGAATGCCGCGTGTGTTGACTGAGCTGTACGCACCTCCCCGGTGGTGCTTCGCGTAGCCTGTAGCGACCAACCCTTGCGGCTGGCTTTAGTTTAGTCAAATTGCCCCAGCGGTCATGGTGCAGTAGGTGTGTCGAGCCCTTGTACGTGCTCGGGGTGTGTTTTTGTTGTTTCGTGGGACATTGCTGCTGATAACAACACATGAAGAGGGCGGCAAAGTGTGTGAAATACCATACCAGCAACGGGGAGTAGATAGACCGGTGAGCTCGCCCTCGCCAGTACAGTAGTGAACGAGGAGAGAGGTAGCCTCGGGGATATGGGAGCAGCTTGTCTATTTGGCCGGCATTCGGGGGAAAACTTGACAACTTTTTTCAACGTATCGCAACAAGTTACTACAGGGGCGAGCCGGAGGCCTGTTTTCACGCACCCTTCGTGGCGACAGCAGCCCCCCCGCGCCTGCGTGTTTGCCCTCCTCTAGTCTTCCCTTCATGCTGCAGCTGTTTTTGTTTGTGGCACTTGTTTGCATGGCGTCCGGGGTTGCGTTTGGTTCTAAATTTGAAGACTACCGCCGCCACCCGCTTCGACATTTCGGTGGCGATGAGGGAACACGTGGATTTCTGCGCTCCATGGCTGAGAGGCTTGTTCGGCTGTCTGTAATAAACAGCGTCACCGCGGAAGCTCATCCATCCTTTCGAGCGAGCACGGGGGGTATCCCTCCAAGCTTCGGGGGCACGTAGGGGCTCATGCGGTCTTCCCAACACACAAAATAATCAAGGCACAGACGAGGGGTACTCGCCTCGCGATGTCGCGCGCAGTTGCCGCACTTATACGTCGTGCACGATGACACGGCTTGATTGACGCTCCACACGCCTGTCCGGACCTCGCGGGCGGACCAGGCGATCAAACTGAGTCAAACGCCGAAATTCTTCCTTCCAGTGCTAGCGGATGAGATGTGGAACCGAATGCTACCGAAGCGCTCACCACAGCTTCCCAAGAGCACCGCCCTTTGTCAACTGACACCTCCAATCAATATTTTCTACGGTACACCAACACATCACATCGTCGATCACCGCCGTTCACCGCGGCTGCTGCCGCTGCGGCCGCTCCATCCGCGCGGCTCAGTCCCAGCAACCGGGCCGTTGTAGCCTCGCTTCTCTCTAACCGCGGCTACGACGTCCCGGGCCAGAGCACTCGTCGCCCCCAAGGCTGTTCTCGCTCCCGATCCACTCACCCCGACCACCAACACGGCCTCCCGCCCGCTCCCCATGCCCCGCCCAGTCGCCATTCTCAGAAGAGCCGTCCAAAGCGGACCCCGCCGAAGCGTGCCGCAGAAGGGCTGGCCCAACGTCGACACCGCGTTGAGCAGGAGGCGAAGGACGCGGATCCGGGGGCGCTCGTCCTCGGCCGGGCAGGCGAGAAAGTCGGCCAGTTGGCGGATCACCCGGGCCTGTGGGGCTGCCGCCGCCGCCGCCGCCGCATGTCCAGAGGCGAGCGAGGGGAGCGGTTCGCCGCCGGAGATGCTGCTGGTAGGCCGAACGGGGCCAGTGAGCAGTAGCGACCGAAGGAGGCATTCGCCGAACATCTGCGAAAAATAATTTGTTCGAAGCGGGTCCCGCCCCGAGAGGCACCGGGGACGTCGTGGATTGGGCAACAGAACAAAGTCAGTCGCTCGAACGTGAGGTTTCAATTAAAGGTGGTGGTGTGCAGTGTTGTCGAGGTAAGCAAGAGCAGCCAGGGGGATGTCTGAGGGTAGTCTCGGAGAGAAAAGAGGTAGCTGCATGTCCCAACACACCGACTGCCAGGTAGCCTTACCGCAAACGAAAAGTGTGCTCGAGAGTGTCCATCGTGCGTCAGGGAAACGGAGTCTGTGCAGAGAGAACGCACACACGTGACCATTCTCCTTCGAAGAAATGTCTGTCGGCGTGTGGAAGAGTTGTGAAAGGTGAACCAAACAGACTGGTTGTATGGGAAACGAGCTATTGTTGGTGCGAACGTCGATACGCTGACAAAATCGAGGTGTTGGAAACTGTTTTTTCACAACAAGCGTTGCAAGTGCATGTCACTCTTCGTGAAGTACATCACTTCAGCGAGAACACAAACAGCAAACGACCACACGGAAACAAACACGGACGACGCATGGCCAAATGAAATGGTCAACGAAAACAACGGCCCTCACCTTGTAGCACACCTCCAAGAACAAGGTCGCCGAGTCCGAAACACCCGACCGAACACCGTCGTCGACACCGCCGAGCGCCCTTCCCGGCCCTTCTCGACCCCTCACCGGTGCTCCCGTCAGTTGATGCTCTCGCCGCTTCTCCGCCAGGGTGCCCTGAACGCAGAACAGGCTCACGGCCTCCACCGTTAAAGGAACAGCGGCAAGCAGCGGCCTCAGCTGCTGCTCCTCCCACTGCTCACCAGCAGTAACAGCAGCGGCGCCAGCGCCAGCGCCTCTACAAGTGTATGCCGTTGCCGCCGCCGCCGCCCTCTCGGTGCCGCTCACGGGACCCAACAGGGCTTCCGCAGCTGCTTTGCGACGTGCTCCGGCGTCCAGCAACGCGACGGCAAGACCCAGACACGCGTCCGCGGCCTCCGGCGCCCCGGCTTTCACCGCGGCCGCCACCGCCGCCGCCGTCCGCCGCGGCAGCTCAAGGGCCAGGAGAGCGACAAACACGTCGTCGTTCTCGCCGCCGTGGTAGCTGTCGTCGCTGTCGTAGTGGCCAGTATCAGCCACGCGTTGGCGACTCCGCCGGTCGCTCGGCAAACCTCGCCCGGGTCCCGCCCCCGTTGTCCCCGCCCCGTCGTCGACGAGGAGCGAAAGGAGGCACGCCAGAGCGGGATCGAGGGTCGTCACAGCGGCAGCATCCCCAGGGGGCTCGTGCCCAGTCCGCGTGCCCCCCATCGGCGACAGAGCAACTGGCAGCGGTGTCCCGGAAAGACGGTCTAGGAGGGCAGGGGCGACAGCGGCGGCGGCGGGGTCATCGCGACCGGAACACAGTAGAGCCGTTCCGAGCCCTCCCCACGCCCGACCGACGTCGAGGAGCAGCCGGATGGTGTACTGCGGGATGGGGTCGTGGTCACCCAGGAGGCTCGGCGCGTGCGGCAGGAGGTGGTCGGCAAACGCGGACCGCACAAGGTCTTCCGCCGCCGCCGGCGAAGAAGAGGAAGAAGGCCGCCCCGCGGCTTCGGCGGGCCCGCCGAGATGCTGCTGCTGCGGCCTGGCGGGCGGTGGCGACGGTGGTGTGCCCGACTGCTGCTGCTGCTGCTGTTGTGGTCGAACAAGCGGCGGAAGCAGGACTCGGAGGATTGCCACCACGAGAGCGCGCGTGTCGCCGCTGGGGCTCCTCAGAAACAGGCAGAGCACAGGGATGAGCTCCGCGGACACCACATCCCGGTGGGGCACAAGAACCAGCTCGGCCTGCTGAGCGAGGGTCTCCACCGTGGGGAGAAGGGCCGCCAGCACGACCGCCCCTGCCGAACCGTCGTCGTCGCCGCCGCCGCCGCCGCCGTCGCCACTCCAGGGACCACCCGCTGCCGGTGACACGGCCCTTCTGCAGCTGCTGCGGCCGCTGCGGCCGCTGCTACCGCCGCCGCCGCCGTTGCCTCTGCCCGTGCCCGCTGCCGCTAAACCCAGAGCTGGGCACGAGAGGGCTAGGCAGCCGGCCACGTCGCTGACGAACGACCGCGTGACGGCCCGCTCGCGCAACAGGGGGCTGTTCACGAGGTGGACAACCGCCGGGAACATCCCCATCGCAGCCTCCAACTCGGCGGTCCCTGCCGCTGCTGCCTGCTGCCCGGGACCAAACCGCCGCGGAGGAGCGCCGACACCGCTCCTGTAGCCGCCGCTCCGCTCCGACTGGCGCCCCCACCGCCTCTTAGCATCGCAACCGTCTCTTGCCGTCGTCGCCGACACGCCGTCTCCCTCGGCGGAAACCCCGCGGCGTTGTCGGAGCTCTGTCGCGAGGCGCCTCGCTGCCCTTTCGGGTATCGCGCAAAGCCACTCCGCGAGCAGGGTGGAGCACTCGTAGAGGTACTCCTGCTGCGGGGATAGTTCTGGCATACCCGCGGCGGCCGCGGCGGGGCAGCGAGGAGCTGACCGAGGAGCCAGGCCACCGATCGCTCTCGCGAGGAGCGGCAGCAGGCGCGACCGGCACGCCTTCAGGAGAAAGCCGGGATCGGCCGCCTCCTCCAGCGCGAGTCGGAGCGAGAGGAAACCCTTCGCTCGGAGGACCGTGTCCTCGCCGTGCTCCGCGACCCGCAGCAGCCTTAGCAGGAGGTGTTGCGAGTCCAACATGCACTCCACCGCGCGTCGGAGGAACAGCGGGGCGTTCCGCCGCCCCTGGCCAGCAAACTCTTCGTCCTCCGTCCCACCCCCGCCAACGGCCCGGTCGCCGCCACAGTTGCCGCTGGCCCAGACAACGAGGTTGAACATCCCGAGGAAAGCTCGCCGGGACGTGGTAAAACTACCTTCCGCTGACAACCCCTGGACGATGAACTCGGGCGCGCCGGGCTCGCGCATCACTCGGGAGGCCACACGACCGGCGGCTGGTACGTCGTCCCCTGCCCTGTCGCTCCTCCTTCGTCTTGCGCCTCTTCTCGCTCCCCGCCCTGCGCTCTCGCCGCCGATGCTTCTGCTAGCTTCGATCTCGTCGTCGTCGTCGTCGTCGTCGTCGTCGTCGTCGTCGTCGTCGTCGCAGTCTTGGCAAAACTCTCCGCCCAAGATATCGTGCCCGAAAACGTGGTACAGCGCCGCCGCTGCCGTGCACCGAAGATTCTCGGAGGAGGCATGCCTGCGAAAAGAAAGAACACGCAAATGTTGGGGGGGAGGTCAGTTCTCGGCGGCGGGACGTGAATTCGAGCGGACAGAACGGAAGAAAAAATATGCTGAGCCTTTGGAACCTGAAAAGGCTACACGGCAGCAAGCGGGGGTACTTTTGCATCTCGAACCTTGCACCCATTGCCAGTATTACAGGGTGTCCATATTGCGATTTGGAGCCAGAATCACTGAGGGTACGTGTACGGTCGGGGGTCGCTCTTGAAAGCGCTTGGGCGTAACATCGTTACCCTGCTGACAGATTCGAATGCACAACTGTTGGAACCACATCGGGGAAACGCTTGCCTTGTTTTATCCACAAAACACGACCAATTGTCTCTTCCGTTCCCGTCATCCTCAAAAGAACGCGACGAGTCGGGGCAATCTTGAGACCATCCATCGCACATTAACAACCGGTGCTGGCATCATTTCAAACCTCCCTGCGCTGCGAGGCCCTTCAGAACTTGCACCAAAACAACCGCGCTGAAAAGGAGCATACATCGGTGCTTAGAGGCCGAAGTCTTCAAGGTCACCACACACTCGGCGGGTAAAGCACGACCCACGAGGAGAGGCTGGGTCGTCCGAGAGAGTGCCAAAGCAGTGTTGGGGCTCCGGTTGGTGGCCAAGGGACATGCGCCCAAGTGTTTTCGTACGGAGAGCCGCCTCAAGATGCCACGAAAGGCTGGTGCCGTACACAGGAGGTCAAGCGCTCGTGTCGTCGTGGAGAGCTAGCTCCTCGTCCTCCTCGCACCCGAGAACGAAAGCAAGATCTGTGGAGTTGGAAGGCTGAAAAAAAGATGAATCACAGAGCAGCGGCAGCAAACCAGGAAAACTCACCTAGCAAGGTCCAGCAAGCCCAGCGCCAGCTCCGGCGTGACCAGGGCGGGCACGAGGGGGTGCGAAGGCCCTACCTGCGCGAGCACATTCTCCATGGTCTTGGCCGCGTAGTGCCGAGCCCCTTGGTGACCGGCG